TGCCTTCCAATACGGATTAAGTTTGTAAGTCAAGACCCCACTGTACCGTAATCTGGATGTGGAGGATCTCTGTACTGTAGTTCCATTGTCACACACCAGGTTGGGTTTAGACATAGTTGAACTCAGAGCACCTGCAAAGTGGAAGACCAATTATGGAGGTCCTCCACTCAGATGGTTCCTTTTGGGTTTATGCAGAGTTTCTTGTTGCTTTGGCTGATTATCTTGTCAAAGCACTGGTTGATCTGTGAAATGATCAAATGACCAGGACAATGGACAGGATTGCTCCTAAGTGACCCTGAAGCCAAACTAGCCCCTTGTTTGCTGGAGAGTCAATGGTAATGAAACAAATGGAATGGCCAGAGTGACACATGCCTGAGTTATAACACATTTGGATTACTCTGGCATGATATTTATGTAGCTGTTTTTGAGGAATATTAAGCTAGTCCAAAATTGTGCAGATTGTTGACTAGGGCTACTTACAGAAAGTGTGTTATCATTGCTACAACTTCACTGGCTATGAAATTATTTCTGGGCACAATTCAGAATGCTAGTCATGACTTACAAATTGTTATGCAAAGTTTAAGAGTGTGCTGAGGACATAAGATAAAGCTTTCTTGATTAACTACTGTCAGGCTATGGAACTACTTTATGAGGCTAGGCTGATCCTGTCCTGCCAGCAGGCAAAGACTCTTCTCTTCAGGCAACTTTCTGCCTACTAAACACAGGCTTTTAATAAGTGTGCTGCATTTTTCTTTTTTTCTTTAATAATTCTTATTTTTCTATTTGAGGTGCTTTTACACTGTTTTAACTCAGTTTTGCTTTAAAATAATTTGTATAATTGTGCTCTTTCTGGTATATTTCACTGCATATTTATTTGTACTTGTTTTTTAATTAAGCTGTGGGCTGCCTGGGGTACCTGTTCTTAGAGAAAGATGGGTATGAATAAATTTCAAAAAACACACAAATAAATGTCATTTGCTCCTTCATTGCTCTTTGCTTTAGGTAAACGATCCAGTTTGAAGTACTGGTATGAGAAGGACTGGCTATGCAGTGGTCACATGCATGGCTTAACATTTTTGGGAGAAAATTATTCCCACCAGAATGCTAAGAAAATAGTAGCTACACACCAGCTTCTTGGCGATGTGCAAAAAGTGATAGATGTACTTCATGGGCTTCAGCTGAAGATGAGCATTTTGCAGTAAGCAGTATTTTTAATATCCTTGTTTAAATTATACTTGATAGATTTTGGAGACAAAAATGCAGTTCTAATTGGAGATTTCCACTGTGTACTGTATGGTGTTATAGAGACTCAAATGTGCATTGGTCAGGTACAGAGATAAAATCAAAACATAATTCAGCATTATTCCTTCCCTTTGCCAGCATTCTGAAGTTTTTCCTTCCACTTTACATACTATACAATGCCATCTGTACTACAGCAAACTGGTTTGTCAGCTTTGCTTATCTACAGTAAGCCTTCTTCAAGCCATAGTTTATGGAGTTGACTTGTTTCAAATAAACACAGTTACATTAATCCCACTTTAGGTTCTAGACAAAACATACATTGTATTTAATATAAAACAGAAGTTGACATTTCTAATCTCACTGAATCAGGTTGGCATGGGGGGAGGACTATAGGAGCCTGGGACTTGAGGCTGAGACCAGTTTATATTTGAATGTAGCTGCTATAGACTGATTGAAATGTGCAAAAGGCTGTTATTTATGTGCAGGCCAGTATGATGTAGGAGTTAGATATCAAATGGTTTCGATGTGAAATTTGCATGCTCCTGTCTCTATGTGTTGCCCCTGCCTGCCTGCCTGCCTGCCAGTCTATCTATCACAGCCTACGCAAGGATATTAAGCTTAGACAACTTACTGGTATTAGCTAAAATCAAGAAAAGGCCACATGATTGTGGAAACATTACAAATGCAGGAGCAGGTGATGCCTTTAATCAATCATTAAGAATATAAAACAAAAAACAAGTAGTGAGCTTTCAGTGATAAATCATCATCTTCAAGGTTGTACATCAAGTTCTTCTGGGTAATTCCAAACTTACATTGTGTTATCAGTGTCCCAAGTTGACATGGCTGATGATGTTGAGGACAGTTTCACTTCTTAGATGGAGATATCTGCAGTATGCAAGTTGGTTTCAAGCTCTTCCTCAGCTATCAGTTTGGAATTTGTGGCTCATATCTTATTGGTATTAGCCATTTTCTGTTCATGTTTTTCCTAGCTACATTACTTTGTGTTTATTGGCATGATGAAGTATGGATTATTAATACCAGGTCATCATGGGGTAATATTATCCTGATTTCATTGAAATCTACTTTTTAGATAACAAAAAGTTCTATTTGATTTGTATAATATTTAATCTTTTTAAATGGAGAAAAATTGTTTAGAAAAACTTTAATAAAATATTTGATTGTAACTTACACTCATGTACCTCTTCATTAGAAGCAAAGAACATCCTGACTTGAAACTCTGGTGTCAGCCTTGGAAGCATTTTGAAGTAGAAGAGAAATCACATGTTGCACGACTAATTCATGTTGAAGAAAATTGTTGCAAAGAGGAAACTACAAGTTATAGAACTTTTAATGGAACCAGTGAGAAACCTTCTACTATTCCTTCTATAGAGGAATCATATATTACTAGTGAACACTGTTACCAAAAACCTCGAGCTTACTATCCTGCCATAGAACAGAGACTTGTTGTGGAAACCAGAAATTCAGACATAGATGACGGTGTCAATAGGATAGGAGAGAATGGAGATGATACTATAGTGGAGAGATTAGGATGGGAACTGGATAGAGAAATATGCAAGCTGGAGAATGAATCAAAACATAACTATTCTAAGGTACGTGTTACTGTAACTTTTTGCCTTTTGGTAGTTAAGAGAGGTTCCTCAAATACAACTGGAAAGTAGGAATGTGTGCACAATAAAGATTTTAGGATGCAACAGCTCATTGGCTAGTCCACCATATAGTTTTAGGCTGTATATAAATATATGTCAGTTTAACAAAAAGATGAAGAGTGATTGCTAGGGCAGTTGAATAATTAATGTGCTTTTCTAAAAGAGTATTTTGTTCTGTGCTTTGTGTTGTAATTGCATTTTAAAATTACATAAGAAATTGCTAATGTTATCTGTGGCCTATCTTGCCTTTTCATTGGATAATATTGGGAGTTGCATGTAACCAGTTGCATAATAAACCCTTTTTTCCCTTTAATATTAAATAAATAGTCCAGTTTGTTCCCTGAAAGAATTGTTAACTTGCATATTTCGGCAGGTAAGAGAAAAAGTTACAGCAGAGGAAGATATTGAAGTGAAACTACTGGAAAAAGACAAGGAGGGAGTTGTGAATTCTCAGCTGCAGTGGCAGCTTAACCTTTTAGCCCACGTTGAGTCCCTGCAAGATGAAGTTACACATAGGATGGATTTAATTGAGAAGGAGTTGGATGGTAAGTAGCTTATTTTCTTTGCTTCTTGTAAGACCTCTATAGAAATCTTTATATTAAGGAAAAGGTTTTAATGGTGAGGAATATATTGTGTTTATAACCTTAAAAGACAAATCAAGTAACACCCCCCCCCAAATAAACCACAATTAGGTTTGCAGCTTGGGTGTGCCTCAGGATTCATCTTTTGAGACTAGATATCTACATCTTGATGATGGCTAGGAGTGTATTTGCCTAATTAAAACTGGTGCACCACCTGTCTCCATTCCTGGAGATATCTGATCTGGCCACAGTGACACATGAATTGTTACATCTTGCTTTGATTTCTGTAATGAACTTCATGTGGTGCTGTCTTTGAAAAGTTTTCAGAAAGTTATGACTGTACCAGCTAGCAGTCTGCTACCAGGCACAATTCAGTGCCAGCTATGACCTATAAAGCCCCAAACAACTTGGGTCCTCACTATCTGAGGACCCTGTATTCCTATATGAATTTTCCTGGATTTCAAGAACTACTGTGCAGTCCTTCCCTTTGGTCTTGCAACCTTCACAGGCATGCCTGGTGGAGATCACAAGAAGAGTCTTTTTTTGCTGTGGCTGCTCCAAGACTGTAAACTTGTAAAGCTTCTTCCAAAACTAGCTATACTGGCCCTTTTCTTGCTATCATTTTTTCAGAAGGCAAAGACCATTTTGTTCAGGCAGACTTTAAACAAGTAATTCATTGCCAAGGAAAAAGTTTAATGGTGAGGGGTATATTGTACTTGTAATGTTTTAAAAGGGATTTTTAAATTGCCAGCTACTGTTTTAATATGAAATATGTTTAAACACTTTTTAATATTGTGTTGTATTTTAACTGTATTGGTCTTTTAAAAAGTTTTGTAAGATGCCTTGAGTCCCTCTTCTGGGAGAAGAGCAGGATATAAATAAAATAAATACATGGAGAAGCTGAGAACAGTAATTACTGTTAAATGTTCCCTCTGCCTTCTGAGAATATCAGAATAGCTTCTCTCTTAAATTCATTTATTGAAGCATGCTTAACACATCTCAGAGATTTAGTGCCATTTTCCTGATTGGTTTCAAGTGTATATTCAGTAGAATCCAAATGAATCAAATCTAACAGGCCTTGGCCCTCAACAGCTATGTAAAAATAAAGTTCCCCCATGAAGCCATATTTGACATCACCTTTTCTAGTATTCAGGTCTTCCATAATGAACATGCCATCTGTGACTTTTGATGTACTGCTGCTTATGAGTAAAAGCTTTCATTTTTGTTTCTTTTGGAGTACCTCTTTATTTTGTCAGTTTTTCATGCACCAGTCTTTCATTTAACATGAAAGGGACTGCCTCTTTCACATCATTCCATTTCAATTTTTTTCCCATTTGTGTTTTCTAATATGACTTCAGAAAATCTGTTTAAGGAACCATAAACACTTAAAAAGGAAACAAGAAAACAGAATCAGTCTACTCCTAAAGCAAACCAGCATCACCAGACCAAACAATCTCCGAAAAATCCACCGTAATATGCACCTTTCATGAAATAAAAATACAGTAAAGTAACCAAATAACTTTTAAAATTCAATCAAACAGGGAAAACACACTCCTCACACATAGAGGAAAAATAACAAAACAAAGCGCGCACACAAAACCCCTTCTGCCCAAAACCAAGAAATGTAAGGAAGCAAAAAGAAAATATAATCAAAGCCCAACTGCCAACCAAAACAACTAGAATATGGGGAGTTTTGCTTCCCACTATCACATGATGCCTTCTTTTGTCTTTGAATCCCAGGCATAGGGAGGCAGGAAAAATAATCCAAGAAAAAGAAAGGGTGAAGGGTGGAGAAAAAAATCCCCAAAGATATCAGCAGGAATGGAGGTCGAAAATAATAATCCTAAAGCATCACATTGGCACAGACAGCAGCAGCAGCAGAAATAATCTAAATAAATTGAGGGAAATTTCCTCTCCCAGCACCCCTAAAAAAGAAAACAAGACAATCCAAGACAGGCAAGTAGCACAAGATGCAGGATGCCAGGAGTTTGCAAGCTCACAGAGCAAAGAAAGAGTGTTCCTGATGGGTTCCAACTAATTCAGGCCATTTTACAGATTCAAAATTCAGGGATACACACACACACACCGAAATCCTAATTGACTGCTGACAGCAGCCCTTGCAACACTATTCGACAAGCTGATAGCAGATGAAAACTTTGCCAGACAATTTGAGAGAGAAAGGGTTAATAGAAGAGGGAAATGTGAAAGAATACAAAACCCTTGTGTTCTTTTGCTTGCTGGAATCTCTCAGCAAGTACTGGAGCAACTTCCTTTGCTAACAGGCATTGTGCTGGAGTACAGTGGTGCCTCGCTTAGCGATCACTCCATTGAGTGACAGAATCGCTTAGCGACAGAGTTTAAGCGATCACAAAAGCGCTCGCTTAGCAATGGTCCCTATGGGGAAAATTCACTTTGCGATGATCACGGGAAAGCGATCATCCCAAAGCCCGCATTGTCGGCCAGCTGATCGGCGGTTTCAAAATGGCCACCAGGTAAACAAAATGGCCGCCCGCTGTGTGTCCTCGCTTTAGAGGCACTGAAAATGGCCGCCCCTGTGGAGGATTTTCGCTTAAGGTTAGTTTTGAAGCCCATAGGAACGCATTAATGGCGTTTTAATGCGTTTCTATGGGCTTTTTAATTCCGTTTAGTGATGAAATCGCTTAGCAACATTTTTTCCTGCACGGATTAACGTCACTAAGCGAGGCACCACTGTATAGCCATGAAGCCTTTCAGCCCAGCCTTTCTCCAGCTGAGCACAGTTTAGATGTGGATCTGGCAGGTTGAACTCCCAGAATGAAGTATTCTGAATGGCACAGGCTTAATTGCCTTCTTTTTGCATTAATGCCAGTCATTGGATTCTGGTTGAAATCCACATAAATTGGGTTACATGCACCACCACCCAAGATAGGGCCACCTTACAAAGTTTTATGATGTGTATAACCAAACCAGCCCTTTTATGTTTCTCTGCCTTAGACCAGATTTGCTTGTTGTCAGCTTCCTCTATGTTCTTGACCTTCCATCTTTCTTATCTCCTTCACTATCTGTTAGTTATATCCTTTTCTGTCTATTAATATCTGTTGTTCCTCCCCCTCTTCAAAAAAGAAAAAGAAACACTTAGCTGTTGTTTGATTTGCCAGACCAGATTTCTTTATGCCAGGACCATCTCATTATCACAGTTAAGTGCCTTGAAATTCCTCACATGGGGGGAAATTGATTATTTATGCAATCTTCTGCTTTTTATCCCTTTACCAGTTGCTGATCTTAAGAGTTATTACATAACTCTTAAATTTACTCAGAAATCTTTCTTAAGGGCCTCTGCCAAAGTTTTTTTTTTGAGTCCATATATAATGTCTACATCTCTCTTGAGGATACTCCAAAAACGGTTAGTGAGACAGAACATCCCTTTTTTCCTTGGCAAGATCTGTTCTTCATATGGTTAATTTTACTGCTAGTTTACGTGGAGTTAACTGTATCTGCTCTGCAGTTGCTTTAATCCCCTTTAAAATATCAACATTTCTTGGGCTGCCTCACAATCCTTTGGTACAGGAAAAAGTGTGAAACAATATGGATATTTGTGTATTATAAAGCTGTTTATGCTTCTTCATTATTTACATATTTTATTAGAATGCCCTTGAAAAAGATTTCTGAAAAAAATAAAAAATAAAAGGAGCCTTAGAGGAAAGAGTAAATGATGCTAACAGCACAATCCTACTAAATATGTATTAATCTACTGAAATTTAATAATTTGTAATGGATGTATGCTTGTGAACATTCATGTTCTTTCCCCCCCTCTAGTTTTGGAGAGCTGGTTGGATTATACTGGAGAACTGGAACCACCAGAACCACTTGCTAGACTCCCCCAACTGAAACATTGCATAAAACAGCTACTCACAGACTTGGGCAAAGTACAACAAATAGCACTTTGCTGTTCAACATGATACTGGAAATTTCTACATGATGGATGGAGCATTTGATCACTCTGTTTAAGTGGAATAGCATGCTTTTTGCATGTGATGCAGAACTGACATCAGGGAATTACTTAGGGACAAGGGTAGCTCTTCAGAAAAGTAACGAGAAGCCCCTTTTGTTCATTTGGCTTTTGCTAGGCATTTTTAACATTAAAAAAGGGATTTGTTCTTGTCTTCAAAGGCTAGGAGCAGATTGCAATAGATTTTTCACTCCTTGCATCAAGTTGTTGAATTAACATTAATGTTTGTTGCTTACTTATACACTGACAAAATTGTGCCACTGGAGAACAGAGTTCAAAGAGCCAAAATGATTAGTTGACCAAGGCTGTAAACTACATTCTGCTGAGTTTATTTAAGTGACTAGTGCACAAGGTACAGTCACACTTTATTCTAATGGTTTATGCATAACCACAGTATTTAATCTATAGAGGATATTATTTCAAGCCTAGCAAGTATGAATGTCTAATTTTATTAAACTGTTACAAGAGGTTTGCAGATAATGACCTGAAACGTATCTACTATTTTAAGTAGATATTGTAGAAGGCCAGAACTGGGTTGCACTTCTTTTCCTAGTAAATGACTGTTTTCCATATTTATCATGTCATTGTAGCATGACTTTTATGGTACTGGGAAACCCATTTATGTTGTACTTCTGTGCATTCTTGAATTTCTAAGTCTGACCATGCTGTGCCTCCCATGATGTAGTGCTGATGAGACATCCTTATGGCAGGGTGCAGAACAGTCAGAGATAAATGTGTACTACAAGTTCAGATTTAGCCATGGTCTACGATAGACACAATGTAGGTTTCTACCTGCTGTTAATATTGCCATTCCGGTTATAGTTTGAATTGTAGTCTTTTTGAATATTATAAACTTCCTCATTGTAGAGACTTGTAAATGTGTGGTTTTGGGAATCAGTTTGTTTTATATTTGTGTAAATGAAAAGCCTCAAGATCTATGCATGAGGTACTGTTCCAAAAAGCAATGGGACATTATATTAAACAGTATGTTTTCAAAATCCCTTTTTGTACATTTATTTTTAATTTCCTTGTGTTATTTGTGAGATCGAAGTGAGAATGCTGAACATTGAAACTGCATTATACAGTACCTGTATATTGTTAAGTATTTGATATGTTTAAAGAATATGTCCACAGATTGTTTTTCCATAATTATTTTTCCTTATTTTTCCTTTTTATTAGACATGTGGAACAAAGGCAACTTTTTTGAGGGGAAAGGAGTGGGCTATTTTTGCATTGAGGGTGTTCTGAATGTTGATTTTTTATTACCTTGATATCAGAGTTCTGTTTTTGACACCACCAAAGTTTCAAATTAAAGCACATTTGTGAAATGAAGACCTGTTAAGTGTACAAATTAATAATTATGAATATAATGTTTATATGCTGCAAAATTATGTAATTTTCAGTTAACCAATGTGTGTCATAGAAGTAATGATGACTACGGTTAACATTTTGACCAGGTGTTCGCTTTCAGAAAGAATTGTTATACTGTTCCAAATTGAAATGAAGGTTTTTATGCCAAGACTAATTTCAGGGAATAATTTGTCTCCAGTTTATTGACACTTACTGGTTATGAGTGTAACATCTCTACAGCAGATAAATTTATTTTGCTGGAATAAAGTTTATGTGATCATTAAATTACACCTGATTGCTTCAGAGTAACATAGCTGCCTTGTGGGAGTTTTGATATTGACCAAACAACACCAACTTTTCATCTTCCAGGTGTAAACAAATTAATATAAAACCTTGAATGCTTTTCTAACATTCATTCAGCATATTGCTGGTTTCCTTAAGACAGCAAATACTTTGTGTTCAACATTTTTAATTCTAAGAACATAGACCTCTGCTTTTCTGTAGAGCAGAACGAGAATTCAAACAACCAATTTAATAGCAAGGATCACTCCACTTCTTGCTCTCCAGAAAGGAGGTCTTCCAGAAATGGATTAATCCCATCAGCGTCCAGGAAAGACAAGGAACTGAACTTTGAAGAGCTTTATAACATCTATCCCATTTAGGTTCTTTTTGGTTTCTTTCACCTGCCTTGCTCAAGAAGGTTCCCTTCCTCACTGTCGAGTCTGCCTTTTTTTGGGTTTGCTATACTTCTTATTCTCTTCCTCTGCCTACCTTACGAACAAAAAAAGAGAAGTCTCCTAGACTGTTCTTGTTATTATTTTCCTCCTCCTTTCTTGTTACTGGGCATATGGGGATCTGTGTAGAGATCTTCAAGCAAGGCTACTGAATCCACCAAAGGCTCAAAGAAACTTCAGAAGCCCCCAGTTCTTAAGCAAGTTCAGTGATAGATTGACCATGTCCTCCTTTTAGTCTCCACTGGCAGCCATTTGGATGCAGGGTTTTTTTTCATTGTCTGACATCTCAGCTGAGGGAAACTGAAAACTCTAATGGTGAAATTTCTTCAGATACCTGTGAATCTGGTGACAACATCCTGGCAGGTTTGTGCCTTATCTGTGCCAGCAAAAGAGAGGGACTGATGTCATAAGTGCAAGGAGGGGGAGGGAAGAAAAGCTTCTGAAGGAGTGGAGGATGTTGACAAAGTCAGTGAAACCTCCCCTACTTTGAGCTGTAGCAGGGTGGGAGTGGTGGCTGGCTTATGGGTGCCTGACCAGTTTCAGGCTACCACCTGCCAAAACCATATTCACAAAAATAACACCACCTCTCCCTACTTCTCACAGTGCTGGTTCTAAGACTGCTCAGTGAGCGCTTGTGCAACCTACGTCACAGCAGGCAGGCAGCTGTTTTCTTCCTCCACAGCAATCAGCTTGACTTCTATTTTTCCTCCTTCCCACTTTTCCATTTGTTCACCCCTTTCCTCTCCACTTCTGTGTTCCCAGTGCCTATGTATTTACTAGTAGCAAGAAATCTCCCATTAACAAAATCTAAGATACTGTAGCGGGATCTTCCTGGCAAACAGGATTGCCTCCCTTCTCCCTCCAGAAACCCTTGAGGGCCCAACATTTCAGTTTATTAGTTCTCTGCCACAGGAGTCTAAAGGGATTGCTACGTCAGGGCTGGAACAGACTAAGACAAGTCGGCACAGGCATATTTACAAACAGGAAATGAGCGCCTAATGTTGTGACATAATTGGGGCCTGTAATTGTGCTGCCAGAGTGGACGTGTGGGTAGAGTTTGTATCTTGTTCATTTGCTAACAATGTTCATATGCCACCCATTGCCAGCAGTGCTCGTCTGCACCCCACACAGGACAGACAGGAGAGTCTATGAAAGAGAATGGACATACATCTGGCATCAGAAATGGCAACACAAAAAAACTTGTTTCAGGGCATTGTTCAGGAGTGTTATGCAGTGGTTTGGTCTCTGTACATGTTCCCATCAGAGTTTGCAAGTTATTTGTTAAACAAGTAGCTAATCATGTTAACAAGTTGACACTAGCACCACTGTATAGTAACAGTTGATTAATATTTACCACATTTCTAAAGGTTTGCTGGATGGCTCAGTGATTTTAGTATCTGGCTACGAAGCTAGAGGCTGGGAGTTCAACTCCCCACTGTGCCTTCTGGGAGAAGAGCCAGGCTATGTAGTCACAGACAAAGTGCACAGTCCCAGGGCACACCTCCAGAAGAAGAAAATGGTAAAACACTTCTGTTTATTCTCTGGAAAAGGTCGCAAGAAGTCAGAATATTATCTGGGGAGGATTTCTCTGACATGTTATACAGTGGTGCTTCGCAAGACGAATTTAATTCGTTCTGCGGTTAATGTCTTGTGAAAAATTTGTCTTGAGGAACGTTTTCCCATAGAAATGCATTGAAATCTAATTAACGCATTCCTATGGCCAAAAAAAGTCAGAACAAAGTCAAATTTGGTTTACAAAGGGTTTATTAAATACTTTTAAAATCCATACATATTGTGCAGATGATTTCAAAAATTTCAATAAAAAACTTTAACTTTTTAAACATCATAGAAAAACATTTAACAATCATCAAACAGGAGGCAGGAACAAACAATGGAAAACATTCGTCTTGCGAAGCACGGCCATAGGAACGTTTGTCTTGCGAGTCATCAACCCCATTGCCAAAAACCATTCGTCTTGTGAGTTTTTCATCCCGCGAGGCATTTGTTTTGCGAGGCACCACTGTATTTATTTCTGCAGCCTATGTTTGAGCTTATGGAGGAGTCTGAACATACTTATCAGTAATCTGGTGAGAAAGGTCAGATAACTCAAACTTATTTAAACTTGCTTATGGGTTCAAATTTAGGTTACAGAGAAAATGTGTAATGTCATAGAAATCCCCTAAATTACATATGATTGGTGGAGATTGTTTCCCCTTTTTTGGCAACCTTTTAATAGTGGGAATTATCTGCTGATGCTAAAATTATACTTCTCAGTCGTTACTTCCTGAAAGCTTGAGTTATTTGTGACTATCCAAGTGGACAATGCACAGTAGCAGTTAATGGTGCTGAAAAGTGTGTTTCCAATCTCCATCTTCCTGGGTAAGATAAGCTTCAAGAAAAATACATCTGATCCTAAAAGTTTCCTGTGGCAATACCTGAGTAGCACACCAACATCCTGTGTGGAGTGCCTTAAAGTATGCAAGGCATGTCTCTTTAATATAGAGGCTTAAATACTTTCCTTTGTGACTAAGATGCTTTCCTTAGAAATCTAGCTAACTGGGTGAAGATGATCTGCTTTCTGCATTGAGTCTGAGGTTTTGTATTGCTCTGAAATATGTGCTTTATTTGTGAAGTGGTTTTTTAAAAGTGTTTCATTCAGTTGTACAGTACAGATACCTTTCTTTGCCTTATATTTATTAGTAAAGTCTTGCCTTTTGAAAGTAGAGAACTTTCTCAATGAGGGGAAAAACACCTTCCTTTAAAGAAAGATATTATGGTTGAAGCTGTACTCCTGAAAGTAAAAACAAAAGTTTTCCTTCCTTAGTGGCTGGCCTGGAATCTAATGGACTAATAGAAAAGAAATCTGTCGTATTTCTGCAATGGTGAAATGCTTTTTTAATTTTCTTTTGAAGCTAACATACTAAACAGATTCCCTTCCTCTCTGCTGACAACCTTTGAATAAACTAGTAAAATTTGCAGGGTTCAAGTTATTGGTAACAAAGGGTCTCACTAGTGGCACAAATTCTGTGTCTAGAAGTAGTGCTTCCATCCTTGAGAGAAAAAGATCTTTGTATGGGAGCTTAACTCACTACACATTTGGCAGATCAGCTCAGTTTTGTTCTGTAAATAGTCAGTTGGGAGATAGCACAGCTTTGTTTGTATGTCTGATGCTTCAGACATCTCTAGCACTGAAAGATGGGCATGCCTGGAGGAGTCACATAAGAGAAAGAAATATTCATTTGCTTGAATGCGTTGTAGGTGCATTCTGCTAGAAAGTAAGATATTCTCTATCCCACTCTTATTAGCTTGTGAATTATTGGAGGAATTTGATGACACATCAGAATTACTATAATAAATAGGTGAATGTATAAGTGCAATGATTTTCATTTATAATTGTAGAAGCAAAAACTTGACTTAGTACTAATATAAAACACTCAAATTGATAATCTGTTTATTTCTACTATTGTTCATAGGGCTTGGTAAGGCAACTGTTAAAACACAGTTTTATTTATTTATTTACAAGATTTTTTTAGCCGCACCATTACCAGTGGCTCCTGAGCGGCATACAGTAGCATTAAAACTTTAAAACCATTAAAATAGGCAATATTATAATAACATCCTATATGAAAAACAATCATTAAAACTTTAATATTAATAAATCCTGCTGCTCATATGGCCAGCTAAAGAATGGATTTCACAAACCATTATAAATGGGATGACTCACTTAAGCTGTATCTGCTATTCTATGGCATTAAAAGCAGTCCATGGCAAAGGTACCACAGAGATTAGAATTTCCGTTTGGCTTTATGGTGTAGGTCTCTGACTGTGGAGCAAAAGGCTGGGAGTTCAGTTCCCCACTGTGCTCTTTGACGGGCTGGATCAATGATTCATTGGTCCCTTCCAGTTCTGCAGTTCTAAGATGATGATAATGATGATGATAGGCACCGTCCAACTCCATTATTCTATTCTATGATTCTGATGCAAGACTCAGCATTTAGAATGGCAGCCTGTCATACCTTTTAAATGCAATGTCAAATAGAAATATGGAAAGCAAACTACCCTTTGCATATACAGTGGTGCCTCGCTTAACGTGCGCTCTGTTTAGCGACAAAACCGCATAGCGATGAACTTTTTGCGATCGCAAAAGCGATCGCATTGCGATGTTTCCTATGCGGGTTTTTTCGCTTTGCGATGATCGGTTCCCTGTTTCGCTTACCGATCATCGCAAAGCGATGATTTTTAAACAGCTGATCAGCTGTTCCAAAATGGGCACCGGGTAAAAAAAATCGCTGCCTGCTGTGTTTAGGGACGGATACCTTGCATAAGAGGCAGCAAAAATGGCTGCCGTATGGAGGATCTTCGCTTTAAGTTGAGTTTTAAGCCCATAGGAACGCATTAAACAGGTTTTAATGCATTTCTATGGGCTTTTTAAAATCGCATAGCGACGAAATCGCTTAGCAGCGATTTTTGCTGCACGGATTAACGTCGCTATGCGAAGGACCACTGTATATACTGTTCTACATTTTGAACACCTTTCAGTAACTTTAGATGTTGCATTAAACATTCATCTTCATCTCTAGAAGATAGAATAATATAACAAAGCTGTTGATAAAACTTAGCAGGAGTGATTTTCTTACTCTTAATTAGAAGGATTTTTAAAATTTCATTCATGTTGACGTAGCAGATGTCTCATTGTTCCTCTGCAGAAGCTTCAATTGATGTTTATTGTCCCAGTGCCTATTTATTGGAATATTGGACAGCTATAAGATAGAACCAATGAACGTCTATTTGAACAGCATACATAAATACACACCCAAAGTCAGTCTGAATGGAATCCAGGGAATAGCTGAAATAACTGAAGTTAACAAATGTACAGTGATGTATGCTTGCATTCAAGGATATCATTCTTGGAGGAAATTCATCAGAACAGTTCATACTCCATTGAACAGAAAATAAGTATTCTTAAAAGTCTTTAAAGGCCCATCTTTTAGAAATGTTTCCAGACAGCCAGCACTTTAAGTGGTTTTGGATCTCCCCTTGCAAAGTGTGTCATCTAAGGTCAGGTTTTCAGTCATTAACAGATAAGAAGTGACAGCTTCCCGCAGGCCTAGACTGATTGGAGAGTCTTCAAGAGGTGGACTTTCTGCTAACAGGTCTGAGCTAGAGAAGAAAAATATAATTTATGTGTAAAACATGCAGTAAAACAGGGTAATTTGTGTTCTTTTTAGAAAGGGCTTCATCTGTAAGCCTATCTAACTGGTATAAAGTTTCAAACAAAAGCAGATAACTATAGTGCATTTTATTCATATGAAAATACTAATCCCCTTGTTATTCTGTAAATTATACTGAAATACTTCTTTTCTAGTAAAAGTACATTCTTTGGACAGAAATAAGACTAATCCACTTTATGCTTCCTACCTGCAAGGGATTTATCCCAGATGTGGCACTTGAGTACCTTGGAATAGATTTTCTTGTGTTCTTTAGAACTGCAAGGAACAGCTAGACCCAGGACATGGTCTAGGTCCAAAATGCACAGACCTAACTGCACTAAATGAAATCATGGTTCAGCTGATAGGCCAAAACCCCTTTGGATGCTGAATTAATTGCATAGCAGACCAAATGAGCACATCCCCCCCAGCATGACAGAACATTTACAACATTTGTGGGCTCATGCACAGTGATCACTTTCAGACCGATGCGTACAATGTCGTGTGTACAGATTTGTGCAGCCAGTTGGGCATACTATAACATTGGCTGATAGCATCTTTTCATTTGAGAAGGCACTACTATACCAGCAACAGGGCCATTTGAGTATGCATAAGGTGTCAAGGCCTGGCTCCTTATTTATTTGTTTCTTTTTCGGCTTAGGGACACATTGAGGGGAGCTTTTGTTAGTATTCTGCTTCGTTCTATTATTATCGGTAGCAGCATCCTCGTCTAATAGTTTAAAGAGTGGTCTAAAATGAATACAGTACCTTTCTTGACTTTCTTTACCTTCCCCTGCAAGGGATTGGCCACCTTACTACCAGACCTAACAGTGTTTTTCCTTCTCCCCTTCAGCCTAACTGTTGGTGCACCTATACCCAGGCCTTTTCCGCCACTGTTCACAGCTGAGCTTATTGTTGTTCCACTTGGGGGCTCTGTGGCTTCGGTTGGTCTTTCCTTGTCATCCAACGAAGTCCGGTCAGGCTCTTGTATGGAATTGTCCTTTCTCTGCCTCCGCAGGAGTTCACTTTCCGCTACAGGAAGCTGTTGTGCTTTCATCAGGTAGCCTGTTATGACTATCGTAAGTTCTTTGATGTCAAATAAGAAATCCCTGATTTCTGATCATAGGGATCGTCTCTTGTGGATGTATTGTTGTATAACCCTCTTGCTGGGAAGGGCTGATCTGGAGTGTTCTGGCTTTTCTCCACCTTAGTGGCTTCTACCAGGGCGTAATCCTTTCCAGTATTCCTTGAGCTTTTTGATGCATCCGACAGGGCTCTTCCACCTAGAAAAGCATCTGATAAGGGGCTTAAGTCTAGTGATCTCATATGACCAAGAGTCACATCCAGTTTACTAGATAGGCATATGTTCTCCAGCATCTGAGAATTAACAGCAACACTGGCAAGCCAATTATGGGGCTACCTGACTTCCCAAGGTAGTCAGACTCCTTATGGTGCACTCTATGAGTATGTCACTCCCTGATATTAACAAAATTGGTAATCTTAATTTGTTTCCAGTATTTCTTTGTTGTGCCGCCTCCCACCTTTTCAACCACCCTAATGACAAAAGGCAGTGAGTCCTCTGCGATACCCAAGCTGTCTGTCTCCTCCCAAGGCCAGAAATATTTATAGTCCTCAGTTGTTTGCTGGTGTTCGGCTGTTCTAGATAAGGACCAAGCTGATAATATCCACAAAGCTGCCCCGCCTTATCTGCACTCTAACTTAACGAGGGGGCAAAACTCCGACTGCAGGGAGTCTGTCACTGACAGTAACAACTATGAAGCTTGTTTATAAGACTAAATTAAAAATTTGAAGGTTAAAATGGATAAAAATAATGTAAATAGTAATATAATAGTGATTAAAATTCATAAGGAGTGGAGCTCAGCACAAATGTTCCTCTTCTCAAGCCGGAAGCCCGGGCATACTATAACAAACAGTGATTCATCGATTTTGAATTGCATACTGACTTGAAAAAGTGCATGAGTGTTATCAAACTTAGTGTTATGCTCATCCATTCTTCAAGATCCATGATAAAGAAAGAATAGAATGCAAATAAAATAACATACCTGCTGAGCTCCTGCCAATTGAGAGCTGGCTTTTTCATTACCACAGGTTTGGAAAAGTTATGAGGGAGGTTTGGAATACATCTTTGAATGAAGCATGGCTCCTTCAAGCAGCAACATAAGCCATCCCCAGTTTCTATACAAGAGGAGGAGAGGAGTCACTTACACTAGATTTTCCAAGTCAACTAAGTCCATTCCAATTGAAAAGGCAATACTGACAGTCAAGAATTGATCCAGGTTTTCCTGCATTACACAATGTTTCTTTGATGTATTGGTGGAAGCTAGTTCCCAATGGTCACTGCAGCATAACCAACAAACTCTCCAGGCCAAGATTTGTCAGTGATTCTTGTCATGGTTGTTGTGGGTTTTTCGGGCTCTTTGGCTGTGTTCTGAAGGTTGTTCTTCCTAATGTTTCGCCAGTCTCTATGGCCGGCATCTTCAGAGGACAGCACTCTGTGCTCTGGTGCAGTTTGCTTGGGAGTTGAGTATCTATAGCTGTGAGATAAGCTTTTGTCCTTTTCAGGAGATGGGTGATGATGGTGATCAGTGTGTTTTTGTTGTGGGTGTATTGTTGTGATAAGGAGGAGAAATTATCTGTCACTGTGATTGATGGGTGTTGTTAGCTAGTCTTTTGTGTGCATTGATCATCGGTCCTTGTGGCTTGGTAGAGTTCATTGACCTTTTGCACGCTGTATTTTTCAGTGCTGGGAGCCACGTTTTGTTGAGTTTCAAACTTTCTTCTTGACTGGCGAAACATTAGGAAGAACAACCTTCAGAAACGCCCACTGAGCCCAAAAACCCCACAACAACCATTAGATACTGGCCGTGAAAGCCTTCGCGATTAAATTGATTCTTGTCAGTTGAAAGCCTTCGCGAATACATTGATTCTTGTCAGCGGGAGTATCAATGCAAAGCCCAGAACTGGTCTTGCATAGCATAGATTTAGTCCCTCATGTTGAGTGAATATCGGTGAGCTGAGTAGCCAAATTTCAATTATAATGGCCAGAAAGATGAACATTCCCATTTCCTGTTCCAAAAAAAATCAATGCAGGTGTCTTTCTAATAAGATTATCAATGTCCTACTATTGGGAGGAGCTGTAGGTAGGAATGCAACCAATTCTTGCACTGTCATTTTATTCATTCATGATACAAGAAAAAATACATTACCAGAGTAATAGTCCACCAAGTCTTGCAAACTTGGAAATGTGAGACGGGGAGAGATATAAAGCCAGTTGTTGGCCAGGCAATTAATGCGATAGTGTTTCACACAATCCCAGGATTCACGATTGGTGTGCCTGATAGATAAAGAGTAGCCACCTGCTTGTAATAGAGAATGATATTTAAGACCATGCTGAGCCAGATGGACACAATTTCCACACTGCACAGATTTAAGTTTATCTGTTTCATTAAACAACCTTAAAATCAATGGAAGTCCATTCTTCTACGTTGCTCAAAGCTGGCCCAAAACTAGATAAGACTGGTGCAGTCAAGGTAACACCACTGATGGTGTGCTAAGTACACCATCACCTTCCCCCCCCCCTTTGGCCAGTTTTCTGTTGGCAAGAGTAGATGCCTACATGAATAAAAGAAGCTGGAGCAAAGCATACAGGAAAGGGAAAGTTCAGCTTCATTTTGCTGTGTCTATGTGTAGTAACTAGGGGTGGAGGCAGAAATGTGCTGTTATCGAGGGGGACAACACACCACTTCATTCTTATCTTCCTCTTACATTTAATGGGCCTACTAGAGGATTTTACTGTATAGCAAGAGTAGGGAACCATTGAGCCACCAGCTGTTCTAGACTCCTACTCATACAGTGCCTTAGCCTTGGCCATGTTGGCTGAGACTTCTTAGTGGCTGACATTTAAAATATCTTAAGAACCAGAGGTTTCCTTTTTCTGTTTAAAGCCTTCCAGAAGAAGGACTAGTGTAGATCACAAAACATATTTCAGTACTTAAATCAGCTGTCTTTTTGTGCCTCACAATCTACAAATGAAAGGGTTTTCCAAATTTATTTATTTTTAATAGAAAGACTCTTGACAACCTATTCTAGAGTTTTATGGCATCCCAATGTCCAAGAAGCCTGACTGTACATAGATTAATTGTCACCATATTAATTGTCAAATATTTTGAAACAAGTGTGGCTGATAATCGAAAACTTCCAGCAACTAAACTACCCTGATAAACAGGTGGTTCAAATTTCTCTGTCCTGTAGAAAGAAGCCTGTAAAAAGGTGTTCTCTTGCAGAAGAGATACTCAGTGAATAAGGTTAATATGATCTATATTTCTCAGCAAAATGCATTTGGTCCATTCCAGAGAAGTAGGGTTAATACTATTGAATCATATGGTGAGACACTTAGTAGCATGTGTGAGTTGTGACAACTAATCCCCAATGCAGTCTCATACCCTGGTCATATGTGGGAAATGTTATCTAATTATCCTCCAGTTAGTTAATTGCTTTTTGTCCTGGTCACACGACACACAGTCAAGATCGAGACATTTCCCCAGCCAGCAGTGTAACTATGGAACATTTCCTCATTGCCAGGAGGGTTGTGTTATTTTGTACCTTTGTTGTACTGGTACATTCCTTACCAGGATTACATATATGCACAACCTGCCCTGCTTCTATTCAGAATCAAAGCTAGGAAGGTGGTCACCATTATTGCAGTGCGTATTATATTTCTTTTCCAGTTTTTTGTGCCTGATACATTGGTAAAAGTATGTCTCGGGGGATCCACCACCATTACTTTACTAGAGAGTAATTATTATTATTAAAATTATTTATATGGGAAGATAGATTGAACTGTTGGTATGCCAATGTCATGGGGGAGGTGATTGCCAATATTTCTGCAGGAGCAGCCGGTGCAACAGAGGAGACTTTCCTAAACAGAAACCCCTTCCCAATCTGTGCTCTCCCTAATTTTCAGCCCTACTGGGCAGGGCTTCACCCCCTCATGCACGGGTTCGCTCTGCTACATGTGCAAGTCTGCCCCTCCATTTGGGGTTCTGCTGCAACCAAAATTACTGGGCAGGGCTTCACCCCCTCATGCACAGGTCCGCTCTGCTACATGTGCGAGTCTGCCCCTCCATTTGGGTGTAGCCATAATCATTTAAATAGGAGGAAATAATCAAAGGGGCTGGAAACAATTGCTGTGGATGCATGGGGGAGGAGGAAAGCTGTGCTGAGGGGGGGCAGAGTTATGTGTGCTCCTAGTTGAATCATTATGGCCAGCTACACCATGGTACCGGTTTATATATATGGTGTAGCCATAATCATTTAAATAGGAGGAAATAATTTGGTACAGTTAAAAGTTCTTGGGATGTTTGTCCCAGGATATAAACCACGTGATCATGGCTCAGTACAACAGAGGTATGGTAAGTATTGGAAGAACTAGAAAACATTTCCCTTGTGTGACCAGGGCCTTAGTGACAAACTCATTTGGCAGCTAGCTTTTAACCAGTCACTACTGTGTTGAATAATGTTCTTGCATACCTAGAAGGTGCTTTTAAGATTCATCAATAAAATATACAATCAGTACTCTATATACTTGAATTGCATTAAATAAAAATCAAACATGTTTCCTGCACAATGAAGCACACTTCCTTAGGATTCAAAGTGTCTTCTTACCTTTCCTCATTTGGCTTTCTCTTATCAAGAAAGAGCCTTCACGGTTGGGAGGGAGCAGCAACAGCTCCTCAGCTTTTGCTCGGTTGATACCCTCATAAAGCCACCTGAAAAACAAAAGTAAGCCACCTTTAGTCCTTTAAGGATAAAGTGGGATACAAATATTTTAAATAAATAATAAAATACATTCATGAATGGGTTAATGTGCCTTGTGCCAGGGTTGCAACTAGGGTAGGGCAAATGGAGTATTCTCCAGGGTACCAAATATAGAGAGCATGCCTCTTTCTTCAGACTGGGTTTACCACCATAAACATCATAGCAACTAATCTAACTTGATTGTGGGTCAAACAGACCGTGGTGGGCAGGTCTATCGAAGTTTTGATAGAGCAGGCACTCAGACTGTACAAAAAGTCAGCTTATTAATAGATATTGTATGCTACTTTTCCTCTTCCCTGTAGCTATCCTCTTCTCTGTAGCTATCCGAGCTACAGAGCATAAACAAATTAAAGGTGTATTTGTTTATGCTCTGTAGCTCGGATAGCGTTCTGATTTCCAGTGAGGAGGGATGATCCAAAGGAGGCCTTGATTACTGTCATTTACTGCCTATATTATTTTTCAAATTATGAATTTGGGAGCACATTTTGCACTGCTTTATCTGGATGCCAAATTTGATACTGATGGCTCTGTTTCACTAATGCACGCACCAACTCTATTCCTTCCCCAAGCATTCCCAGTGAGCATATTTTGTTGCTTCCTGAGCAGCCACTCTTACCTGTGAGAGATTTTAGCTACATGGTTGCTGGGAATATAGCAGTCTTTTCCAGTTACAACTGATTCCACTTTCCACCATTCACCATCTCTGCAGGAACAAAGCAATAATTGAAAGCTGGAGCCTCAACCATAACAATGTGCTGATGTCAGCCTTCCCCTTTCCTTCGTTCGTCGTCGTTTAGTCGTGTCCGACTCTTCCTTCCAGTTAGACAACATTTAATGAAGGGAACAGGCATTGCTGTAAGACTTATTCCTCTGTGGGGGCTGTGCCATTATCCAAAGGTACTGGATCTTAAAGCATAAATTAAGAATATAGCTTTACATACAATTTGGAGGCAAGATGCTTCAAAGCATTCAGAGCAGTTGTGTAAGTCCACAATTATTCCTTGCCTTGTTGGGCGTGTAACTGTCAGGTTGAAGAAGAGCTAACCTGCATTCAGCTTTTCTCTTAGTCAAGGCTGACCCTGCAATTTGGTAGATTGACACCATCACTTCAGGAGGCACTTCCAAAATAGCACAGAGGGAGCAACAGGAGCAAGTCCGTAGCTATTCTCTTTTGTTGGGAGACAGCCTTCAAGCCCAGCTATAGCTTCTTCCTCTTTCCAGGATGATCGTTCTACTACTGGGCTGTATGTGGAGCTTGGTTGGGGGTGGGGATGTTGTTTGTCCGCTCCCGGCAGCAACAACTCCTGATCCAGCCCTGCTGTCAGTTTGAGTACTTACTCAGACAGTAAATTCAGTTGTTCTCCCATCCTGAGTATTGGCTGTGCATGCCCAGAAGGAAAATTACAGACTGCAACCACTATAGAGGTGCTGGCACCTACATGTTAAAAAAGAAAAATAATGTGTGATTTAAATGTAGTCATTAAGAGAAAGGCAGTGTGTAAGTAAGACAGACAGATAGATCTTCTAACAGCTGAAGTGTTCCTACAATGCACTGTATATGGGACTGGTTTTCAAGCATAGCTGGAGACTTGGCCTGATCCAGAATGCAGTAGAGAGGATGCTATCTATGCTATATTACAGGAGCTATCTATGCTGTATTACAGCAACTTCACAGGTTTCTGTTTTGCTTCTAAAACTGAGGGGAAAGGCTGATTATTATCTTCTGATTATTATCTTGGGACCGAGATTCCTTCAACCAGATATGCTGATGTATTTATTTTATTTTATTTTTTTAATTACCCCACCCTTCTCCTTCAAAAGGACCCAAGGCAGCTTATATTATTAAAAGACAATAAGGTAATAAAAGCTAACAAGGAGGAGTATACAAATACAAAAAAGGATCAAACAGATACCATACTGAAATAATAAGCAACATCAAAATACATTCAAAACAGTAAGGTACAACAATCCATTAAAAAACCCCACGTAGGCAGCCAGTCAGGGAAAGCTTGCCTGAAGAGAAAGGTTTTCGCCTGCATGTGGAAGAACAGCAAAGATGGGGCCAGTTTTGTCTCTTGTGGGAGGAAGTTCCAAAGTCTGGTAGTGGCAAAGGAGAATGAGTCTCTCCTATGTCCCCACCAAATGCACCTCTGGTTGTGGTGGGACTGAGAGGAAGGCCTCTCCTGATCATCTTTACACTTGAGTATGGTCATAAAGGGAGAGGTGGTCCTTGAGATAGCTTGGACAAAGGCCATTTAGGGCTTTATACGTTGAAACCAGCACTTTGAATTCCGCCTGGAAACAGACTGGCAGTCAGTAGAGGTGCTGCAACAGGGGGATTATGTGATCCCTGCAACCAGCCCCAGTCAGTGATCTGGCTGCTACATTTTGGACCTGTTGAAGTTTCTTGATGCTTTCCATGGGTAGCCCCATGTAGAGTGCATTACTGTAATCCAACCAGGATGTAACTAAGGCATAGTTCCTTGAGATCTACAGTGGCTTACTTTTCTCCACCTTCTCAGGGTCAAAATACAGGAAACACTTATTTAGAAAACTGCTCCCTCCAGTGTTCAAAGACATCTGTTTCTATTCCACAGTCAGAAAACTAGGTTCTAGGGTTACTGTCTCCATTATTGTTCATAGAAACTGGCCAAATGGCAGCTAGCCAGGCTTCTAAGACATTGGTTAGAACAACAAAAATAACCCCCAACCTGTTGTCCTGCTGCCACAGCCGGAGTCAAGGGCCTGGTCGTTCTGTGTATTTGGCTGCTGGCTTGGCTCGGTAGCAATCTGTTTCTTCCGACTAGGCAAACTTCCCATCACAGTGTGCTTTGAACGGCTGCGTTCAGCAAGAGTGATCTTCACATGCAGCAATAAGAGAATGACCTTACACAGAATAAGAGAGATTATCAACATAAACTTTAAACAGGCCACTTACCAGTCTTCTATCGCAGTTACCAATCTGCTTTCTCCCCTCCCCCCCAATAAGATGGAGATATTTAAGAACATGAGAAGTGCTCTGTTGGATTGGACTAAAGCTTAATCTTCCATTTCAGCCAGCCAGCATTCCCTTTCTCTTAATTCTTCCCAGTGAGGGGCATTCAGGCCATATTGCCTCTGGGACCAGAAATAATATATACAGGCATTGTGACTAATAGGCATAGCCATTGATTTCTATGTTTGTAAGCAAACTATTGCCTGGCATTGGTAATCTCCAGTAGGTCTCCTTCTCCCTTAAAAAAAACTTAGCGCACATGACTCGAAGGACCATGTACATGGAACCTCACTTTGTCATTCCTCACCATGTGCTCTGACTTACTGCCTGCCATATCCCTGCCTGCCCCTCTCCTTGCAGTGTACTAGGAAACTGGGGAAGAAACCAAAGTGATCCAAATAACTAGAAATAGCCCTTTTACCCTCTGATTAAAAATGAACCAGCTGCCATTTCTTAGGCTTGGTGTTATCAGCGTGGTCATTTAATGGGACTCTACAAGGGAAGGTCACATTAGGCAACAACCCAAACAGATAACAGCTAAGCCTGGAATAGGTACTAAAAAAGAGACATAAGATGGTCAAATGGTGCATCAGGGAGTGCTTAACACTTCTTATGGATGGTCGCTATAAAGCAGAATTGAATAGATGTAGAATCCATGCAGTTCATAAGCAAAACAAAATACAGGCATGTCTGAGCATGACAGAAACGTATCACTTAGCTATACAGTACTGTAAGGATGAGTAAAAGGTACATTTCGATCAACTAGTAGATTTCTGAGTAATTAGATGAAATTTCAGATTGTTTAGCAAAATGGTTTTCTCTCTCACCCTGAAACATACTTGAATTTTATAAAAGGGAGGGGGCAAGTATAAATACATTTGTGTGGAAGGAAATTAGCTCTTTTCAGTTCTTGCATCATTGTTTATTTTGTAGGGGATAGCGCCATGCTGCCATAATTTGCATGCATAACACTCCATCACAACATAATGGCCAAAATGTTGCTTCATGTAGTAAATCACACTAAAGTAGGTCCACTATCCATATAGCTAAAAATAAATCATCATCGTCATCATCATCATCATCATCATCATATAACAGTTCTGGGAGTGGGGGTACATGCATCTTTGCCCCTCAGAGTTACCTGTACAGACAGGATGATGGCTTACCTCTCAAAGTCAATTGCATTATACAGTACATGGTTTAATACAATATTTCTGAACAGGTGGCTCAACTTTCATTGAATCTCTGGCCTTGTAACCTGACAAACTAGAGCCTAAAGACAGACAGAAAAGGGGTAGCAATACATTGTACTTGTACTGGTAAGACTGAAGGTCTACTCAAATGTCTGCTTCTAATGTAACCCTATGAAATGAAATTTCAGTTATGCAGTTGAATCCTGACAATATATATGTTTTCCCCTGTAATTGAAAAAGATTTGCTAAAGCAAAAGCTTATATGGCTGTTTCATGTATGCTGAGCTTCATGCTTTCCTCCATTCTAGACACTCACGGCTTTCATCACACCGTTTCCTCCGCACCAGCCATGTTCATGTTTATGTGAGCTCCAGCTCTAACTCATTTCTATGAAGTAACAAGTTTTATTCTGCATAAGCTTTGGTGAATCACAGATGCACAAACTGTAGCCTCAGTAACATAGACCCTTTCTTGTTTGTGTTGCAACAGATGTAACAGTTACTTGTTCGAATAAAACATTCAGCAGTTGTTTCTCAAGCAACTCTGACCTCACTTGCCAACTAACAGTCTTCCACTGCCATCATTGCCACCAAATTTATCCATCTCTCTTTGACCTTCTCTTGTACCCCAAGCCTTCTTGTAGACCTGCCTGATATGTTTCCAGTCTAAATGAATTGTATCAGAAGGAGCAGCAACAGCACTCTTGGTGAGCTTTGCTGCGCTGGCAAATCAGTGTTATAATCCGCGCCTTTTAAAACTATTCTCTGCTCCCATTTCAAAATATTGTATCTAGCTGCAGTATAATTTCCTTACATTCATGTGAATCAAGAGGGGTCATCACTCACCTGTCAGTCATGGCACAACGCAGAACTGCACCGAGTCTTCAGAAATCAGATTTTGATGGTACTGAACTAAGCAGTTAGAAACTGTCTGGCAGAACAGAAGCCCCAGGAATGGATGAACGCAGAGCCCAGTCAAAAATTGTGAGTGCAAGATATACTGGGTAGGACACTAGATGATATCTCAACAAGATAAGGACGCAGCAACACATATCCTGGTCACTCTTCCTCAATGGTTTTGATCACTTGCTGCAGTTCACCAAGTCACAGGTTCCCAGTGCAGAGTATGGAAGGGTAAATCTTAAAATCCAAGGAGCAAAATTCTCTTGTTCCCTTCCACAGAAATACAGTTCAGCTCAATAGCCTCTGCCTGTGGGCACAGCTTTTATTTTTTGAACACGTTATTGAGAAGTGCTTACACCAAGAGAACCCACAAAGTGTTGTTTCCTTTGACGCAAGTGGAAAGGTGGTTGGTGTCATAGGCTTTTTTGTGCACAGAAAACAAGACACCTAATCCAAGCGTGCTTCTGTGGAAGAGCTTTGCTTTTTCACAGCACAAAACTAGAGTCAGATAATGCCACAAAGTTAGAAACTGCCAGGAAGGTGGTGATGTGAACGAAACATGTATATCCAGGGTGTGTATGTGTCCATACTCAACTGAAAGAAATAAAACTCAGACAGGGGAAATATGTACACCTACTACTTACTCGCAGCCCTTTCCTTCATGAAGATTTCTTTTTTACCAGGTACCAGCACACAGATAAGAGAAATTAAACAATGGGCAAGACAGCAGGTCAGAAAATAGCGGACACTGTAAGATTTCTGCACTCCTCCTTGATTTATGGACTTACTGTATATTGGTGACTTTCATTAAGAACAAACATATCTATACAGTACAGTCTCACCTGCTTCAGACCCTAAGCAACTGTGGTGTGTCTGCTGCTAATATGTTAAAGGTATGCAAATATTCATGCTAGTGGAGGCCTCAATACTGTTCAGTTCCTGCCTACAATTTAGGAGATCTTATCTTTCTCAGTAACTTAAAATAGAGCTGTAACATCACTATCTCTAGCTGTGCTGCACACAGTGTGTCTGCACATATAAGCACAAACCTCAAAACTCCTCACAAAAACAAATCAACAAGGAGCGGAAAAAAATTGAGGCCAAGTTCAACGGTATTAGCAACTTTTGTTTTTGTAGGGCAGGTCTCTTCTGCCCCCACTCCCATCCTCAGAACGCAGATCTTTCTCATATCTGAATCCTAGCAGACTTACCTGCATGCACATTTGTCCAATTAGTTCCAGGTTCTTCTCTGACGCTGACAATGCAGCAGTAATAATGCCTTTGTAGTTTAATCAGACCCAATGGAAAGTAGGAGTGTGACTGGTGTACGTTATGTTCAATTTCCAAGGACATTTATTTTTCAGTTTATTTAGAGTTTCTCAAAAAGCAGTCTGAATGGAGACGTTCAACCAGGGAACAAATAGTCACAACACCCCAGATGGTGACATCAGGAGGTTTAAGAGATACCATGTGATTAAATAAATCCATGCAGGCCATATACAGTTTTCTCACAGTATAATTAATCATATGATCATACAAGAATTCACAAACTACTCTCAATAATCTGAATTTTAATCTGTACAGTATTAGCAGCACTCAAATACTGTAGGAACACATACATACACCAGGAAAATTCAGGTATAAATACAACTAAAGCTCTGAACTGAGAAGAGTGAGACATACTGTAAATCAGAAGAACTCAGTCATACTGGTGACTGCAAGAAAGTCATCATGAAACCCCAACAAAACCAATGTACCTGTAGGCAATGTTTTTTTCTGTCAACTTAATTAAATGTTGATTGTATACAAAGAAAACATTCTGAGCTGGATCCCAAAACTACCTTTATATCCTTTTATAAATATGTGAAAATAAATGCACACCTTCAATGCCTACTTAAAGTAGAAGAATAGTTTAAGTTCTTCTTAAGTAGCTATTGCATTTGCAGCTACTCCCCAATAAAAACGTTTAATGTCTTAACAACTCTCTCATATCCAGTTCCATATTGAATCCATAAAGGGTTTCCAGTTTCATACTAAACCTATAAAGACAAAGAATCTACAATCCAATGACTTCTAACTACTTTCCAAAATAAACTTGTCACTGATGGACTGTTCCAAAATTGATCTAGTGTAGTCTTCCCCAACAAGGCAGCTTCCAGTCATACTCTTCAGCCAGGATGACATAGGTCAGGGACATCATGTTGGGGAAGGATTGATCGATTCAATTTGTATCCTGCTACCATTAGTGTCGAGGCACTACACTGGGTGGGTTACAACACGAAACAGAAAACCAAAATAAAAATAGAAACATTAAAAACAGCAACAACAACCCTATAAACAGATGGCACCAACTAATCATATAAACCCAGAACAGATGGATGAAAAGGGGGGAGAGAAGAGGGGGGTAAGGTGGCCATTTGGGGTTGGTGTGGAAAACCTCCCTGAAAAGCAACGTCTTTAATTGCTTCCTATATGTCAGCAGTGAGGGGACTAGATGGAGCTCCTCCAGAAGCGGGTTCCACAAAGTTGGAGCCACTGTGAAGAAGGCGCTACCTCTTGTAGAGGATTTATGGGCCTCCCTCAGGGTGGCCACCTGGAGGAGCCTCGTCTAGGATGATATTGTGGGTTGGGCAGAAGACATTAAGGAAAGATGGTCCAAAAAGTAACATGGGCTCAAAGCATGGCCTGAGTAGTGAGAGGATAATAAAAGGAAGAGACTGTCAGGAATTGGCAAATATGTCTATACTATACAAACTTAAACTTCTCAAACAATTTCTACAACATGTTGGGTCAAGAAACACAAGCCTAAATGGGATACAAGCTAAAAGGTTACTATCAATATCACTTTTGGTTGAATGTGCATCCGGATGTGGTCCTAGTACAGTGAGCATCTGATTGTTCCTGCCACTGAAAGAAGTGCAGTGCAGACCTAGAACTACTCTTCAATGGGCATTTGGATGCACATCTGATTTACCTGATAGCCCTTTCTAAGAATCCCCTTTGCAAAATACTCTCCAAAGGACATTTCTTCTGAGGCTAAATACCAACTGGAGTGAGAGACTCAATTGCATGCACTTCTCTCTCTGCTTACAATGTTTGATACAAGATAGCAATACAAGGATGCTGTTTTTGCCCTTAACAGATTTTGATATCTGACTTTCCTGCAGAGCTCATCTATCGAGACAAAGTTCCCATCATGGTACTCCATACGAACAGGACAACCATATTAAAAAGAAGGGCAATGATAAATCATGAGAATTATGAAATGTTTTATGTTCTGGGACAGCTCCGGTTCTTCGCCTTCTCACTACTATTCTGTCAGAATCATTGTTGGGTGATTTTATCCCATCCAAGATGCAGGAAATCCAAAGCTAGTATATCTCCAAAAACCATATTCTCAACCAATACCTGAAACCCTCCAGCAAAGGAGGGCCTCTGGCTCCAGTAATCATCTTTGCTATTGAACTGGCTTAAGGTCAGTAAGTTTTTCTCCATGTTGCTCTATCCCATGTTCTTCTGTGGAACTCATTTCCTTCCTTTGCTTCAACCCTTCCTCCTCACCAGCTCAGCTATTCCACCTTATTCACCAGAGTGGAAAAGCTGAAGTGGTGAGGATGAATAGTTGAAGCAAGGGGAGGGAATGAGTTTAAGGTGTACAATCTTGGTGTGGAGAAGCAGGCTAAAACTCACTCCCTGGACATTCATCACAACGGCCTCAATGATGGTGCAAAGAATAAGAAGTGAACATGCCCCCAAAGCAAATGCTACAAAAAGTATAGATAAGAAATGCTTTACTTCCCCTGTGAAAAAACATACTATGCATTGCTTTCTGCCTTCTGCCAAGGGACCTTTTGAGAAGAGACAGCAGAAAGCACCACTCACTCTTTGCTAAGTATGGAAAGTTATTTACTCATTCAGCATTCAACATCTTTGGGTGAGACACTCTAGAATGATGGAACTTCTTATTTAGGTTTATTGGTTGCTCAGGTTTTGGATCATATTAACATATATACAGCTACTCATCTCACATCTATTTGCACCACTTGCAAGTTATATACCAGTCACTCTACTCACTGACTTCCAGAGGTAACAATCTATTTTTTATATACTACAGAGAAAAATGGAATGCTAACTATGCTGTCCATCTGATTTTTCATTCAAGTGTTCATGTGACCATAAAACACGATTGGTAGGTTATCTGAAATACAAAGTACACCTTGAAGGCTAATCAAAGGGAAGAAAAACAGACAGAGCCACATTAACAATTAGAGTTTATTACAATTTTGTTCAATTGATTCAAATTGTCCCTCAGGCAGTTTCCCAGTCCCACTTCTTTGCCGAAACAGAGCTGAACCTGATTTCTGCCAAGGATTTGGACCCCATGAGCCACTGTGTAACACTGAAAACTTTCAGCTCCATACCCCTTCCAATCAGCAGCTCTCCATCAGATCACACACTTTCTGCTTTCAGTGACTCAGCTTACAGCAGAAAAGCATGATCCTTTTGAATTCAAGAAAACTGAAGATGGTAGTTCCCAGGGTGCAAATTTTCCACTTCTACCAGGAATGCCAAACTTCTCAGACTACTGAGTTTAATATCAGCCCATGGAAAAATATACTATAAAGCAGGCCTAATACAAGACATACTTTTATAACACACAGTACATCAAAGCATACTTTTAGCATTTATTACAAGATCCTCAGACCCATTATGCACAACCAGAACAAATTACAGACCCAATTTACCCCCCCAACACAAGTTTTTTGCACCTATGTAGGGCAGTGGTTCCCAACCTTGAGTCGCCAGATATTCTTGGGACTAAAATCCCCAGAAATCTTCACCACCAGCTGTGCTGACCAGGATTTCTGGGGGCTGTATTCCAAGAACACCTGGGGACCTAAGGCTGGGAACCATTGGTTTAGGAAAGGTTAAAAAACTTGCTGCTGGTCATCTAGATATTCACCAAAGCTGCATCTAAGATGTATTGTGAAGTCTCATCTGATCAGTTCACTAAACTATTCCCACAAATTGCAAAGATCATGTTTCATAATGATTTCTTGACCATTTACTTGATTTTAGTTAATCCCTCTTGAGAGTACAAGTATCAATCATTTTAAAAGGCTTGATTATTTTCTTAAGGAAGGAGAATTACAGGTAGTTGTGGAGAGGGCAATTGTACAAACACTAGTTTGTAAACAGAGAAGTTTTTTTAAAAAAGCAAAAACATAAATGGAGAACTGCACAAAGACATTAATAGTTTCATAACTGCAGCTGCTTTAAGAAACACAGAACAAATGTTTCCCAGTCTGTGCCCTCTCTGCTGCTGCAGGTGCAGGCTGCAATCCTATATACATTCTCTCTTGAATAAACCCTATTGAACTCAGTAAAGCTTACTTTTGAGTAGACTTATAAAAGACTGTGCTGCTAATCTCCCTAGTACATCAGAGCTGGAATTTTATTACAGTGTCTGAACATTGTATGGATATTTGGACCTACAGCAAAATGTAGGCCCAAACATAGTAATTCAGAAATAATTATTAATTTCAACAACTAATGTATTCTCAAAGGTTTTCATGATCGGGACCCAATGAACCTACAACAGTGTTCTCAAGGTTTTTATTCCTCCTGAAAAGGACAAAGAGCTGATCTCACAGCTACAAATATTCAACTATCCCACATACTACACCAGAACACAGAGTTCTGATTCCTGTCCTCTGAAGATGCCAGCCACAGAGACTGGCAAAATGTTAGGAAGAAAAACCTTCAGAACATGGCCTAACAGCCTGAAAAACCTACAACAACCAAACATTCGACCACTAATATTGTTCTCAATCTTTAATTTTAGTTTCACATTAGAAACTGTGATTAAAATATGTATGTAATTAATGATAAATTTTAATATAATGGAACATTCTGGCAAGACGTTAAAATCATTTACTCTGCTTTTACATATTTTTCCAGCTTTGGAAAACAATGATTTCATCCAGGTAGTAAAGGTCCTTCATACCATATCATGTCTCTGGCAACACACATAATGAAGCTCTGATTACTCAGAAATGTGTCACTTTCTCATATTCCGTTGAGTAATACAACCCTTCAATGAGAGTTGAAGTGTGTTAGAAACCTCATGTATTCTTTAACACAATTTCTCCCAACTTGCTGCCCTCCACATATGATGGACAACATTACTATCCAGTATGGCCAGTGGAAATGCCATTTTAGGAAACAGGAAACACCTACACTTGCCTGAAATGTTAACTAACTAAGTAATATGCTGATTAATCCAGACATCACAGGATTCAAGACATAAGTCCTGAAGTTTTGAAATTTCTGACTTCTCTTTACTTCACCTTTCCTTCCCAAGATGCAGTAAAAGACTGCAGCCAGCAGCTCTAACAAACCTTAACAACTAGAAAGCAGTTTTAATTGCACGAGTCACTGAAATTGTGATTCGGAAAATTTTAAAAGACAAGGAAGATCCAGCATAGTCATAAGGTTTTATAGCACAGAAAGCCAGGCAAGGGATGGGATACCTTCATATACAGTAACTTTCTCCACCAGCACCAATGGAATGTTAGCAGTTAATAGATTTGTAGAGAGTTACATGATTACAGTATAGTGATGAGCCCAAAGTGGAATTTGCAATGCAAGTATTATTTTCTCCCATGTGTGGTGCTAAGAGGGAGATAACTTGCTTTTCTAATGTGATGCAAACCTGGATTTGCGCAGCATTGTTTAGCCAGCCCTTCTGCCATTCATGAAGGTACCTTCCTTTCCATTTTCAGAGCAGGGCTCTGTACAGCACTGTTTAGGTAGGCCTTAATGATCAGTCTGGAACCCTTGTGTCTTTTAAAGAACATGTTTCAAAGAGTAATATACAAACAGAAAAGCAGGGCGAAAGCTTTCTAAGGAACTGAAAATGTTTCAAGCTGAAAAACATGAAGGCGAAAAGAATGCAGTGGGAGAGGAATAAAAGCAACACAGCCTGGTCCAGAGTCTGTACATGTGTCAGTATAAGAGCAAAGGTGGGCGGGGAAGGGAAGAAAGCAGAGCTCACCCTGCAGCAAAACCACTCCAACTCCTCATCAAGAATGTCTGTATGCAGCCTGTGCTTATGTAAGCCCATACAGAAGAACCAAAAGGAATGCCAGTGACAGAGAGGCAGAAAGACAGAAGGTAGGACCAGGCAGGCACAAGTGAGGAGAAAAAGACCTACTAATGCCACTTGTCTGGTCAAATAATGATTTCTAGGTGGGTTCAGCAAAGGAGAAAAGGGACTGTCTGAATGTACAGGGTTGCTTAGCAGGATACTTCCATGGTCTGAGGAGTTCCACGGACATCGGCGGCCTCAGGTATTCCATGTTTTGCTTCTCCTGGGTTGCTGCTCTGAGACCGTGTTTGGCTGCTTTCCCCGGAACCTACACTTGAAGATGAATGGGTCCGGGAACGGATCAGCCTGGTCATGCTAGCAGAGGGCACTGTTAGGAGAGAGACAGTGAATGCCAGAAATGAATAACTGCAAAATGTACTACATATTAAAAAAGGGTAAAATGGTAGGAAAATAGAGAAGCAGCTGGAAAACAAATAAGGTATGTTTATCATCTTGTTCAGAATGTCATGATTTGGAGAACAGAACAAGGTTACCTCAGCAGAAATAAGCTTCCCAAAGCCAAGGCTATGGAAGCATCATGAAGGTGAAGGTATAGGAGTAAAAGCAAGGGAAGGGCTTCAGCCCATCTCCATTCCTTCCGCGGATACAGCATCCCTTCATAGCTTCCCTCTCAGCTCATCTTACTACATGCAACTGCTTTTTTTCAGATGCACCCCTTCCTTTACATTAACTCTATGAAGAAAACATGCGGCAGGAAATTCCATGTTTTCCTTAACATAACATTCCATTTTCACAAGTGTAAATGAAGTGGATATACATAGCTCCAGATCGGTATCTATTGTTTCACTTACCTAGTTTGCCACAGCCCTATACACAACATACAAGGGTGCCTCCTTGTGGCTTTTGTTCCACTCTATTGGATGTTATGTATAGGGTTCCCTCACATCTGTGGTTTCAGGTATCCACAGTAGATCATGGAACTGATCCCCCACGGAGATGGGTGTCCTACTGTATATATGATCAAGGGAAGGATTCTTTAGGCCTGGAGTGGGCAATTGTTTCCACAGTCGTCACATCCTTTCCTCTTTGTGTAAGGGACTGCTCATTTAGATTCTGAAGTAGCCAGAAATCATACATTTCACTCTAGGATCACCACTGAGCTACAAACCATGCAACAGTCAACCAAATGCAAATGAAGGCATTAAAAAATTGTAGTGGAAGAAGTGTGCAATGGGGAGGCCTAGAATGCAGAACACCACTAGGCCATACAATAAGCAGTGCAATGCATCAGAAAAGAAAAATGTAATCCAGCCAAATTAGACACACACTTGAAGGTACCTGACTCAGTGTTCAGGTGACTGAGTTGCACATAAGGGACTAGAAACAGAGAGAAGAGAAGGAATGGGAAACACAGTTAGTGGAGTCACAACACAGCTATCTGCATTATATCTCCTGGAGTCATATATTAGCATAATATCAGCTTGGGTGGTTCACATAATTTCTGGTCTTGACCTTCAACATACATGTCTTTTTGTACTGACAGTATAACTCCATGTCAGAAAAAGCATGCTAACTATAGGTTAACGAATTTCAACTACCTTGACAATCTATATTTTCCAGATGAAATTCTGACAAATTAAACTGCATCACTGAAGAATTTAGGAAACTGGACAAATTCAAATGTATTCAGAGAGAGAAAAAATAAGATGCAGTATCTAGAAGAAGAGCTGAGAGATAATGTTGATCCTCACAGGATAGTGTGGTCCTTGAGTACATGGGAAAACTTCCATCAGTGATGCCTGTACCACGAAACATGGATGTATCTTTTTGTACTTAGAACAGACTCCTCTTCCAGTCCAGCAATATCTGTGAACCATACTAGACCATGACACAGAGCACCAAATGTTTAAATGGAAACTATTCTATAGGAGTACAGTGTCTAGATCAAGGGAAGTGACAGTTCCACTCTATTCTGCTTCAGTCATGTCCTAGAGTATTGTGTCCAGTTCTGGGCACGTCTATTCAAAAAGGACGTTGATAACCTGGACTGTATCCAGAGGAAGGCAACCAAAATGGTTGAAGGTCTGGAAGCCATGTCCTATGAGGAGCGGCTTAGGGAATAGGGAATGTTTAGCCTTACAAAAAGAAGGTTGAGAGGGGACATGATAGCTATGTTTAAATATTTGAAAGGATGTCATGTTGCGGAGGGGACAGGTTTGTTTTCCAGGGCTCCAGAGACTAGGCCACAGAGCAACGGTTTCAAACTACAGGAAAAGAGATCCCATCTGAACATTAGGAAGAACTTCCTGATGGTCAGAGCTGTCCAGCAGTGGAATAGGCTGCCTCGAAGGGTGGTGGAGTCTCCTTCTTTGGAGGATTTTAAGCTGGATGGCCATCTGTTGGGAGTACTTTGATGGATGTTCCTGCATGGCGGGGGGTTGGACTGGATGGCCTCAGTGGTCTCTTCCAACTCTATGACTCTATCATGTCAAAGGTTTTAATGAGGACTGCACGATGAACAACCCCTGATCTATCTCTTTCCAAAATAAATTGGTATTACTTACTATAGCCCATCCCTTGGACAAAGTACTTGAATGCTTCAGTCAATTTCCCAGGCTGGAAAAAAAATTGAAAGCAATTAAGTGTAAGAATTAAATGCAAGTAATGCCAGATAAGCTCTATGTGTTTCCCCTCAAACCAGGAGCCCCCTTAAACAAAAGCTCACCTGGACCACCTGTGGCAGGCCTCCACAGTCGGCCATCTGCAAGAGAAAAATGAAGAGTGTAAATAACATTCAGATTAAAAAAGAATTGAAACAACAAAGCAAGCTTAAAAACCAATCCATCAAGAGAAAGAACCCAATATTATGCAGAGCCCTGGAAACTGAATTTTTTTCTTGAAAAACTAGGTTTTTTGGCTTCAAAATATATCCAAGATCAGAAGAGCTGGAAACACAAGTATCTGCATGGATACTACTGATGTGCCAATTCAAATAACTGGGTAGACTCAGTCCCAAAATGCTTTCTCCCAGCATCTTCACTGGATCCCTCTGATAATTCACTTTCAATAAAGCTTGAATTGTAGGCATTCACTGGAGTATTCAGTCAAACACTTCAAATTCTAACTGTATGATCCTTTTCTTCTGGCTACCAACTAAGAAGATATAAATAGTTTTGAAAGAATGTTTGCCTATTTATCCCAAAAGATCTCCAAAACAATAACTCTGGCAACATGTAGATTTGCATGGATGCTTCTATCCAAATTAAATATACAGTATATGGATTGGTTATGGTTCAAAATTGATTCTCTGAAAGTCCCAGTTGGGAACTACCTTCAATGGCTCCTAATTATAGATGTTTAGGAGCTACTCTTGTTATCTGCATCGTATAAACTGTAGCCATGAGATTCTTTTCTTCTTATCACACCTAAGTAGTTCATCCATTGTCTACCAGACTTCTGATAACTTTCTTTTCTTTTATTACACAACAATACGTAGCCTAATCAGTATGTCAACAACTTGGCTTGGCTGAAGACACACTATGGTTGCAAACCATGTAAGCTTTCCACTGTAATAAATGAATGAATGTAATTATGAAATTGATGATCTCTCTAAATTTCCAAAGAGGGACCTCAATTTATGAGTGAGTGGAAGTGATTACTGGCTGATTCAGTGGAGTGCAGGGGTAAAAAAGAGTAGCATGAAATAAACAATTAGTTTGAGTAAGAGGACAGACAAAGCATTGGGGGTGGCAGATGTGACTCATTGGATTCCCACCCAGAAGATTTGCTATTAATTAAAACATACAGTGGAGCCTTGACTTATGAACGCCCCTACTTATGACCATTTCGAGTTACGACCAGCTCCGGCAGCAAAGTTTTGCTTCTACTGTACTTCCAACCAGAGCTTCCACTTACAAACAGAAAAAGGAAGGGGGAAAAGGCGGGAAATTCAAATTGCTAATTGTAGGTGGCGATGAGGCTGCTTCTTTGTAGCTCTTTTGCTCCAGCAATTAGAGAGTGTGCGTCGTCGTCGGAGGCTTAGGACTGCCTCTTCTGCTTCTGAGAGCATGTGTGTGTGTTTGCATGGAGGCTTTGGGCTGCCTTGTAAGGTAAGGTGCTGTTTTCTGCTTTTTAAAAACTGTTCTGGGTGTTTCTGCAGCATGGTTTTGAGCTGGGTGGTTATGTTTCTGTGCTGTGATGGGTCTTGGGGGGGTGTTTCTTTTTTGGGATTTCCCCCCATTTTCGATGGGTCTTGGGAATTTTGTTGCTTTTTGGAGTGTTTTTCGCCATTTCCGATGGGTCTTGGGAGGTTTGGTTACTTATTTGGTTTTTTCCCCATTTCCGATGGGTCCTGCATGCTTCCCTTGATTTTTCCTTTATTTTCTTTGCATTTCCAACCTGCCCCCTTTGTTCTCTGTGCATTTCCAATCTGCTCCATTTGTTTTCTGTGCATTTCCAATGGGTCTTGCACGCTTGATAGCTTTTCTCCCCCCGCCCCCTGGCCGGAAGGGATTAATTGCATCTCCAATGAGTCTTGCAGTGATTTTTTTCTTCGGCTGGAATGATTAATTGCATCTCAATGCATTCCTATGGGAAATGGCGCTTCGACTTACGACCATTTCAAGTTACGTCCATCTTCTGGAATGGATTATGGTCGTAAGTCGAGGCACCACTGTAGCTTCCTAGGAATGGGAACCAAGTCAGACATTGTCCACTGATTAATTAAAAAGGGCTACAAAAAAGGACCAGGACTTTATTACATATGCCAACCAATGTAAATTGCCTCCAAAATCAATCCCATGTTAATTCTAGACTTAACATTTTAAAGTAGAAGAAAGCTCTCTCTGAAGCATTTGTTACAAGCTCATCCCCACCTGTAATTCTGTACAGTATCCAGACTATATTTTTTTAATGCAGGTGTATTGCGGTTCCCCAGACCCCTTCCCCCTCTTTCATCTTGGAGAATGGCACACAGGGATATATTTCTAGAGATCTCTGTAAAAGCCACACAAAGCTCTAGAATGTCAGATCAAAATACAGGTACCTAGGATTTTTTGTTACCTTCAGGAGTGTTGTATTCATTGGATCCAGTCTTGAATTGCATTCAACCTACAAATGAAAAATAATATTTTATTTTTTCTTTATTCTGTATCTAAATATGCAGGTCATCATTTAGACAGAATATCTATGAAAGATCAAGTAAGTGTGGAGACCAGATGCAGAAACAATGTACCTCAAAAGTCAGAAGTGGAAGGCTTAGTAAACAGAACACACATGTAAAATTAACTGACTTTAAAGATCACATACTGGAAAAACCAAGAGGGATTATGAGCATCTGACTAAGCAGAGCAATATTTTTGATGAAACTGATATACCAGCTTCTATGACATAGACAACTTTCATTTATAATGGACCTGAATTTTGTTTATATTGGACTGTGTTCATATTCTCCTTCAGTCTAATTGGAGCAAGTCACTATTTCACAGCCTAATCACCTTGCAAAAATGCTAGAAGATTAAATTATGCCCTGGCCTTATTGCAATAATCGCAGGATATAAATGTGATAAAATGTGAGGATAGAAAGTAAACAGCAGGACCTCCACAAAAATTTACAAATTACTAAACCTGTATAGTTGATACTGAAGGTAGACATGCAGAATTGATTGCTAATTACTGCAATAAAAAAAATCATGGTGGAGAAAATGCAGTTGATCTGAAAACAGGAACAGGGAGCCTGAAATGGGGGCGGGGCGGGGGAGAGAGGCAGGTAGATGGCAAAAGCAAATCAATCAAATACATCTCTCAGGGCTACAGTTAATATTACTTTGCCTTCTAGCACCTTACAGAGAGTAGCAGTAAATTGACTGAAGAAAAAAAAGGACCTGGGTGATCATCCCTGCTGAGATATTCAGCAAGGTGAATACTATCATCATTTCACTCTAAATTGCCCACTTCTTCCTTGCCTCTTTAAGATATCAAGAGGAGAAATTATGCCTGTCAAAGAGCTATCAAACATTATTGGTTGCAAAAGGGTTTTAAGCTCACTCATGAATGAAGGCAGCTCTCTCATTTAATACGAGTTCAAATGGTTATGGGAGATCTGAAGAGTTATTTTACCTTGACTCTGCAAGGGACTGAACAAAATGTAAGAGGAGTATAAGGGAGTGTAGTGAAAGACTTGGCAAACCTACCACAGCTTCAACTGCAGGTGAGCTGTCCCCAACCACCAATAAGACAGGGCACCTATGCAAAACACACAAGGTAACAGTTGTAATCCACACACACAACAGCAACATCATTTTCTGTTGTCAATAAGCTCCGATAGAGCAGGAAATGCTAAAAGCACTAGTGCAGGCCTTTGCTGTGAACCTATGAAGGTCCACCTAGCTTCTAGGTGGGGTGGGCATTTGATGGAGGGAGGTTATATACATGGCCCTGTTCCCATCGCTCTTCAGGCTCCATTGGGTCTCTGGTTGTAACACCTGAACAGGGCTATTGTTCCAAGCAAAGACTTAAGAACTGACTAAGCATAACTTACTTGAGTGTTTTTCCGGCCTCTGTATTTGTGCCCAGGACTGGTCTCTCAATGTCTAGATCTCTGCGGCTAGGAAACAAAGGCAGAAGTACTGAGAAACACAAGGAAGTAGATGGCTGGTACAATGGTCTTATGGAATCAGCATACATATCTAGTACCTGGGCTGTACATTTACAAAACTACTGAGTTGTATTAAACTATACCATTTGGAATAAACAGTTTGGATTTTTAAAATGTAGTAATATCACAACTGTAACATATCAAACATTTTTAGTCCTTCATCTATCAACACTAAGGAAGCCGTCAGCTCATAAGAAACAGACTGTATCTCAAAATAGGGAGCTTGGTAAGATAATTATGACCGGATGTCTCCGTTCTTTTATTTTCCTTTTGAGACAGTTGTATGTGTGTGCATATGGCGCATCAAAGCACACTTTGGGGGAAAAAGGCTTTAGCAGATCTTGCACATTTTATTCATTTTGACCCTTACACATTTCTGGCTTAAAGGACAGGTTCTTTCTATGTTTAGGTTTAGATGTAAATTGTACCTGCTTCTCTCCAAAACGAAATCAGAAAAAGAATGCAGCTGGCAAGACATTTTGCTGAAGAGAACAAAACCTACTAATTAGAAATGGTACTGCTAAGACAATTTATCTGAAGTATACCGTATGAGGAATGCTCTTTAGAAGCACAACACAATCTGTTTTTTGTTGCTACTCATGAAAAACATGTTGGCTTTTCCCAACATATTCAGCCATCTGTTACTGGAACACTATTTATATTTTTAAGGCTGGGGAGTGAGGGAAGCACACAGGATTCTATATCAGTTACAAGCATCATGTACCTGTTATAAGAGGTGACGAAGAGATGAAGATTTTCTTGATTGATGTCCTGTGCAATATGATGTCTGTATGTTTGGATCAGCTCCAGATTAGCTTGTAGTTCTTCCTGGTGCAGAATGGCAAATATTCTAATCAACTACAGTAGTTTGCTAACAAGATTATTTTGAAAAATAATTTAACAGGCATGCTAGGAAAATATTGTCTAAGGAAGAAGGTAATGTGTTTTTGAACACTGCACTAAGGATAACTCTGCTAAGGATTCAAGTAAACCTGACAGCAACAAGCCTATGACCACATCATTGCCCATCACTGATTTCTTTACTATTATATCTTGTTTGGCCCTAAAACTTTTAATTTATAAAAAATGAGATACGTAAATAAAAGATGCAATATGATGTCTGTATGTTTGGATGCTTGTTATAATTGTGAAATACCACACCTTATATCTCGTACAGACACAAGTAATAAACACACTCACGCCATACACACACATTATCCCCTTGTTTGAATTTTTAGCTGTGCCTGAATGAAATAGCACATGCCAGTAATGAGGGTGATCTTAATAATATCTCTATCAACCATTCAATAATCCAAAATTGAGAGGGTAATATTTTTGTAAACAAATTATCTATAGGAGTACATTCTGATATTTCAGATTCATTGTATTAAATAGCATTTTCAATATTGGATCCTGCAGTTGACTTACATGACCAAAATGGTGAGCCAGAACAATATCTACAAGGTTGGTTGTCCATCCAGAAAACTGATGCAAACAAATGAACAGAAAACAACTTAAATTATTCCAGGCAGTGGTACTACACAGTTGTATATTAATACAGAGCACAACAACAACAGCAACAACAAAAACAACAATAAAAAAATTGACTGGCATTATATAACAGATACGTATTTTTACCAGAAACCTAATTATCTGTTGGATATTGGCACAGTATGTATACTGTTCCTAATATTGCTGTTTTGTAGTTCTGATGGTGTTATTTCTGAGATCTGTAATTGCTTCTAATACTGTGTGAAATTATTACTATTACTATTACTATTACTACTACTACTACTACTGCTACTACTGAGGAGAAGTAGAGATGGGTAAGGAGAATCATAAATACACTTTAAAATAAAATAAAAATAAATTCTTGAAGTTCTACTAGAAGCATCTGAAACACCACTCCAGTGAGGAAAAGCATATATGACGTAAGACCCTTAACAATCTAGAAAGTAGTGTATTGTTTAGTGTTTTTCTAAAAGGAGACATTAATGCACACAAATTACAAGTTCAACAAGCTTAAGTGATAACTTAATACATAAGAGTTTGATTTGGCTGTGTTTTACAGGACAGCTTACTAATCTCAACATGCCAGTTTTCATTATTCCACTCATAAAACTTGCAGAGAAACATCCCATCCTATTTGTTTTCCATGCTGCCTTTATATATGAAGCATAAATGGCCAAAGTACATATGGATATCAACAGAATACTTTTATTTTTAAACAGGACTACCTCATTACCTCATTGTACTTTTCACTGCTGGGTGCAACCACATGTATTACCCTTTGAGAAAATGTGTGCTGACATTCTTTTTGGTGCTTTGATAACATTCTGTACTATTCGTTTTATGACTAGGAATTTGTAGCACTGGAATATACAAATTTCAGAATCCAAAGGGATGACTCTGCTTCCTTACATGTTTGTTTTAGCTTTATTCAGCAAAAAAAAAGTTATGCCAAAGCAATAATCAACATCTACTTAAAAAAAAACCCCACACTCATTACATAAAATACTATCAATGGTGTAATGTAGATAAGGATTATCATCTCAGTTATGGAAGAGTTATTTCCATCGTACCTTTGATGCTGCCCAGTCAATCCAGCCTTTTGCACATGGGTCAACATTAATAAGCACAAGGCCTTCAACCAAGTCAGGGTGATTCAACTAAAAACAAATGAAGTAACATTTAGCTTTATATACTTCCAAAACATAAAAACATAGTTTTTAATCTTCGAAAATATTTGTACTTGAATTGTACTTGAAAATGTGAATTAGCATGAACAACTAGCCTGTATTATACCTCTTTTTAAAAATAGTAACAATAGTGAAGTACAGTACAAACATTCAGTACAGTACTGAACACAGATCAGGATAAGAGAACACTATAAATACTGTAGCATCATACTTGGTAAAGATGGCCATAGATGAACTGCATCTTTTGGGTTGTTGCTGATATCAACTCCACAGCTTAACATGGCAAAGAGAATACAAGGAAACGCTAGCCAGTACTGTATTACTTATGCCAGTGATAAATGTGATAATTTTGGTATGACAAAGCCATCCTCTGCCCAGAAATGAACAGATATGTACTGTTTCAGTAATGTATGCATGCTGAAAATTCCACTGTATTACTTATGCCAGTGATAAATGTGATAATTTTGGTATGACAAAGCCATCCTCTGCCCAGAAATGAACAGATATGTACCAGAAACTATCCATCAGCATGAATTGGCTGCCACATCTCTAGCAAATTTCTTCTGAAATTCTCACTTCCAAGGATTTAGGTCACTCTTGATTCAAGCTATTGGTCCTTGCTAGTGTTTCTCTGCTGTGTATGATTTATAAATCACACCCCTAGACACAGAACCAAGAGAAACTTAATTGTTAGGACAAACACAAAAGCTACTTACAGCAAATCTGCTGAGGATATAAGCCCCAGCTCCAACTCCGATACCTATTATGTTTTTCAGGCTGAAAGAGAGGAATTAAAAATGAGAGCATCTTTCAGTGTTCATACTCAAGCAGCACCCCCTTCATTAGTCATGCAATGGCTCTTTTTTTGAGGGGGAAACTAAATATACCACATTTTGTTTTCAAGAGTACTGTAAGAGGTGTGGAATCTAAATAAAACTGAACAGCCATTTTCCTTCTTTGCAATAAAAGCACAGTTTCTCCTCTCTTTCTGGGCAACTGTTTTTTATTTGTAGTAACCACATTAGAAGAAAACTAAGTAACTCTATATACTTGCCTCAAATGTGTAAGAACAGCTGGGAGCATTTCAGCAAGTTCATCAATGGTGGGGTACTGGTATCTGAAACCAATGAATGGGGAATGCTAGTTACAAACAAAGGCTACATACACAAATTTTAAGTCAAAACCTGAAATATTTTTTTCCAAAATGGCCTAATCAAACACACACAATTCTGAAGGAGATTTCAGGAGTTTCACAACAACAGATTCTGTACAGTATCTTGGTCGAAGGAAGCAGAAATCTGTCCTAACAAACACAGTCAATTTAGAAGCCACTCTGGCTCACAAGATACTTGGGTGATGTACACCAGGTCTCCTAATATTATACATATTTTCACTTGCAGCTGCCTGCTTGCTTTTGTCCTCATGCCTCTAGCATCACAACAGAGTCTCTGCAAAAGCAAATATGGCAAGTTAAAAAATTTCTGCACCACCAAAAAAGGGTTTGGTACAACAAAGGGAGAAGCAAGGAACTAGGCAAGATTCCCCGCCTCCAACTATATAAACACTGCAATATCTACATTAAATACATTCCCATGTGGAGAGACCCTGCATCTCTGGGAACAAAGGGATACTGCTGTGCTTACCCAGACGGGAAAGGAGGAGCTCCTTCTTGTTGTCCTGGTGCATCAACATGGCATACAGAAAAGTGTTGTGTGATCTCCTGCATGTCTTCAAAGTTGAAGAAAGTGTTGAAACAGGATTTATCTGTAAGACAAATGATAGGAGTGGCTTACTTTGAAAACAGTGCTCCTTTCCACCATCTAATGTTTGATTCTCATAGTAAATAGGGGTTTAGATTAATGCTGTGTACTGTGGTGACAACCTCAGAAAACTAATTCTGCACTAGGGCTTGCTCTCCTGTTGTTAAAGTCATTAGCAAGACTACCACGGCTATATCTTAAATCTATAAATTCTATCAAGATTTTGTGCTAATCTATGCTTTACTACTGTTAGCCGAAAAATGTAGGTAACAAATTAACTGAATAAAGAAACAATAAAGTAAACTAGCACATAAAGAGGTACACAGATTTGAACACTCAAAAACTTACGGTTGAGGCCAATATCATGGTATGTGAGGATGATGGGTCTGTTCCCCTTCGATGACCCCCTCATAGTGACATGAACCACACCATAGGCTGTCTCAATATCATGCTCCTAAAGAAGAAGAAAAACCCACTTGGTAGTTAGACAAAACAACAACTGGGAGATGTCTTGCAAAGGAGCAGTGAGCTTATGAATTAACTACCAATTGAAGAAAATGAACCCAAATATGGAGCATTCAAAAAGACTTTTAAAGTTATCAAGTTAGCAAAGTGCTGATTAAGACAGATTATATTTTGCAGCAATATAAAACAATCACGTCAGGCACATTTCAACACATGTCTCTCCTATAAAAACAAGAAATGTCTGGAGATTACAAAACCTTTACAACAAGGGTGTCTGCCAAAGATGCTCTCTACAGACATAAATGGGCCATTTACTGACACAGCTTAGGCAGTAATGAGAGGCCAACTCATGAGGAGCTCAGCTTTTAAGTCATTTTCTGACTTTGAGTACAGTATTAACTAAAAATTTCCAAAACACAAAAAATATTGCTATACAAAGAAGCTCTTCTGTGTTTGTCTGGGAGTGAATAAATCAAATACAAAATATGTCCGTAATTTTGCTGGACCATCAGAAAGATGGCGACAAAACTAATACAAAATTTTATTATTAGAGGTACTTAATGTAAATACCACAATGTTTTCATGTTCTACAGAATGCCTCCTAAAGATCTATGTTAGGAAAAAGGGAGGGTAACCATGGTAAAAACCTTCTCCAACACAGATTTTGACTTAAGATAGCAATTCAGAAAGTTTCAGAACACTTAGGGTTGGTTCATCCTCTATCCAAAAGCTCTCCATTTAGCCTACTTTGCCTAACATAGATCTTTAGGAGGCATTCTGTGAAACTTGAAGGCTTTGTGGTATTTACATAATTCTAATAATAAAAGTGTCATACTGTTCCTGTCCTCATTTTTCTGATGGGCCTAAACAGTTACATGCATATCTTACATTTGATGTAATAACTCAGATGAAAACAGATGAGCTTCTTTACACAGCATCATTTCACACCAACAGTCTGGTGAAAAGCAGCAACAGCACCTTTGAAATATGATAAAAATGATATCTGATATCCATCCTACTATTCAAAAGCCATGTGGCCCTCCTTTGTAAAGCAGGCAGCAAACATAAAAAATAGTAGACTCCAACTCCCTAGGTATAACACTTCAAATAAGAACAGATGTGCTGCTCTAACATGGGAGGGAGAGTTCCCGTTAAGACAGAAAGCTCAGTCTACATTACTGTATTGAATGCAACATCTTTTATTTATTTATTTTATTTTAAAGTATTTCTAGACCATCTGCCATGCACAGTATAGTTAGACCGCACTTTATTTTGAATTACAAAGAGGTACTTATAAGCCTGGAGCTATCTAGTGAGGAATGCATTTGTCTGCAGTTAAAACTCAGTGATTTTAGAAGAGATTATTTTACTGTAAGAGATTAATACATGGAGTTTTCTCCTCTCCCTGACATTCATCTGGTCACACACTATTATTCATTTAGTTACCCTTCTCTGCCCCAGTGCATCCATCATAAGCTGTTCTTTGATCACACAGATACACAGCAGGAAATTATACATTACTGTGAGAGTTATACTAGGGACTGAAGCTCTGGACAAAAGAAAAGGATACTGTAGGCAAAACAGTTTCTTTCTGGCCTTCCTTATCATAATGTCTGCCATACAGAAATATAAAACACAGGTTTCTAAAGCAGGTTGTAATAAGAAGGCTGCATGCAAGCCCCCCCTTCTTTGTGCCCCACTGCAACCCCCTACCTTATAACTAAGACTTGTTAAGACCAGGTGCCATATTTACAATTCTGACTTTGGTGCTAAGAGGCCAAGAGCCAGAGGATATAACCATCATTACACTGGGTTACAACCAACCTGTGTTATTTGCATCACAGATGCCCACAAAGTACTAGAAGTAGAATGTTGCCAAGTTATTCAAGACCATGAAAGTCCCTATTTAAACAGATTCTTTCTTCAAACTCATCCTATGACAGTACTATTTCATTAAATGCACAGCTGGCACTTTCTATGTCTCCTCCTCGCCAAAAGAAGAAGCAGGAGGAAGAGCAGCTGCAGCAAATACCTTGAGAGATATCATTACTCAGAGCTTATTGTATGACTTCTGCAATTTGTTTTTATTGGGTTTGATAGTTGGTTCTTTGCAGCTGGGTAATGCTGCTAAGCTACACAGCAAGCATATTTTCTGGAAGGACAGAAACATTGCTGCCACCTTAATATTAAAATATAATTAAAGAAAAATATGAATCAAACCAAAGCTGTAGTTAAATCAGTTAAAATCTTTCCATTCTAGGGATACATTTTACAGTTTCACCCAATCAAATAAATAAATGAACAAATGAATGAATAAATAAATAATTGCAAGCTCAGTTTAATGAAATAAGCATATGCATAGCAATAAGAGAGCACTTTAAGAAGCTCTGAAACCTCATTGCTGTTGAAATTGACCAATGCAGATTAAGCTGTATTTTCTGAAAATACTTAAATAATGAAATACTGATGTCACCCAATGTTTAGGGGTAACTAAATCAGATTAGGACTGGATTTAAAACAGCAGATGGCAACAAGTTCCCTTGTAGCTTGCTTGCAGTGCCTCCACACCACAACCCTGTCCTTGAAGATTCATTAGACGAACACAGCATGAAGCTGGATTGTTTTCCTATGATCAGCCAGTTGCTGGCACCCCATGTGAAGCCAGCAAGAGGCAGCTCTGACGTTGGTTGATGACTGTTTTGTTTACAGCTGAAGGGGAAATGTGCAGCTGTCTGCTATATCAGGAGAAGAACTTACACTTTATTTGCAGCAGCCATATGGACTGCAGATTATCACATCCCGACAATCATTTCAAAAGACAAAAAACTTTAATTTAAAAAAACACACAACAAAATAGTTAACAAAAAGTAGCCACTCTAATTTTGAAGACATACACTGCATCTCACAATGAATGACATTTCTCAGAGGAAAACATGAGGGAGAGGGAAAGTGGCAAAAGGACTCATCAAGAGGTTCCAAAATGAGCAGAATTTATTCTGTGTTTTGAGGGCAAGAGGTGTTTTAGCCAATGTCACATTCTTCTGTACTGAACAGTCAGTTACTGAATATTTCATAATCCAAGCATGGGGGGTTCTGTTGTCCACTGCAATTCAAGAATAGACTTAATCAGCTTATTTACTATAATAGAACAGGGCACACCACCAGGGCTATAAAAAGTTGCATGGCTGTGATTATTTGACATCAGCTACAAAATCCCAACTTCCATATTTAAGAAGCTTTGAGGAGAGTTAGGGATGAAAATGTGAAGATACATTGGCCAACTTTGATGAAGCAATAAACAAACAAACAAACAAATAAAACCCCAGGAGTCAGGACTGATCCCAGGAGCCATGACTGAAAAATAATTCAGAGATTTATGTCAACTAATCTTTATCACCTGTGAGGAGGTTGCTCCTGGCACCCCTAGCAGGCTGCCCACACTTGCTCCAGGCCTGCTAGTGGGTCCAGCAGAAACTCCAACACCCAAGCCCCAGGTGGATGCAGACAGGGAGGTGGAGGCTCCACATGGAGGAGATGAGTTAGGGACTGATAGGCTGAGGCTGGCTGGCAGGGTCCAGGTGTAAAGAAGGGCGATGAGGTTCGAGCTTCATGTTCAAAGCAGAATCCAAGCAAGAGGAGTGGGGTGAAGCAGGAGAGGAGCTGGACCTTGTCTTCTATGCCTCATGGGAGGTAGACTAATGGATGGTCCAGAACCCTAATCTGGGTGGAAGCCACAGTAAGCTAAGGGAAAAGGACATAATGACAGAGTCCCAATTTTCAGTGCATCAGCATCCCTGCTATCAATCACCAACCCGTGGAGACCTTGGCAACAGACAGTGCACCTGGCCCCCACCCCATCCCAATGGAGGTGCTAGAGATGGAAGTTCCAGAAGAAGTCACAGAGGGCCTGGGGAAGCCTGCACAAGGGTGAAGAGCTGGCACTATAAACCATTTCTAAGGGTGTGGGTTGACTTGGGTTGTGCTAAAGACCAGATACCACCAAGAGATTGTGGACAGCCCAAACCCAGCATTGGGAACTTGGGTTCAGGAACAGATTGGACTTAATGGAGGGGCTACTAAAACCTCCTCAGCACCCTAGTGAAGGAGTGGGACAGCATGTGGCTTACACATGCTCCTTTCTTGTACCCTGTTCCCCAACCCCTAATAAAATAAAGTTTTAGTAGCTCCAGGAGTTTGGACTTTATGAAAACCATGACCCTTCCACCTTTCCCTTCCATCCCCACCTTGGGAAGAAGAAGAAGAAGCACTCATACCACACCACTACCAACCCAACCAAACCCCCATGCCTGTTATTTCCCACTTTGTCAAAGTATTTAAATGCTTCATATTTGCACCATGTCAGCTCTATGTACACAAATCATCCAGGCTCTTAACAGCAATGCCTGAGATCAAATATGCATTAGTGACGCATACACTGGACACAATCTAGGCTCACTTGCGTTGGTATGCCTTACATTCCCTCTAGTCCATTTGACTTTAATACGCACTGAGAGAGAAATAGGTCAGCAAACAATACACTTGGCTTCTCCTCAACATGGAAATGTTCACAATATGATGAAACCAGCTACAACTCAAGTGCGAAAAGAGTAAATGACTAAATATTATGATCTCTTGATCAGCATGCCAGCAAGTCAATATATTCATTTGATGAAGGAACTTTCAAACACCAGAGGAATTTCAAGCATTGGCAAGATGTAAAGGGCAGAAACCATTTACACAGCATTACTTGCTTTTAGCACATTGATTCATGCAGCCAAAGTCATGTGCTACAGGCTTCCACCGCACAGTAGCAATCCAGACATTATATGATACCATTCTAAGCCTTTCCTGGACCATCAGATTTCTTGTTTTCCCTTACTGTTCTTTTCTTACATTAATCATGGTCTATACCAGTGGTTCTTAACCTTTGTTACTCGGATGCTTTTGAACTGCAACTCCCAGAAACCCCAGTCAGGACAGCTGGTGGTG